CCAGCGGAGCTTAGCTGCGCTCAGTTTTCAGCTGGGCTAAGAGGGAATCGACTGGGGAATACCTGTGTTGGGCTGGAGCTGATCACGCGAGCTGTAAACGCGCGAGACAGGCCGCATCGTACCTTAGCCTGAGCGCATGTCGAAACAAATCCCACCAGCCCTCTGGGCGTCGGTGGTTTAGGGCGTTTGCTCTTCCACCCCTCCATCTTCCCCTTCGGGAAGGGGTTTATCACTGCTCCCTATGAATAATCACCCCCTCCCCCAGGCGACTGGGGGCCAACAAGGGTCCATGCCTCCCCCCCCGCCATCCCTTGTAAATAAACAAAGCAAAACACACTCTGCCTCCAAATTCGGAACATGCGCAGCCAACCCGATGCGCCCCCCCCCCCCCCGGCATCCCTGTCACAAAAACAATACAGAGTACACTTGGCGGCGGCGGCGGCTGCGGCGGCTGCGGCGGCGGCGGTGGCGGCGGCTGCGGCGGCTGCGGCGGCGGCGGCGGCGGCGGCGGGGCGGCGGCGGCTGCAGCGGCAGCGGCTGCGGCGGCGGTTTGGCAGCGGGGGGCGGCGGCGGCGGTAGCGCGGCGGTGGCGGCGGCGGCGGCGGCGGCGGCTGAGGCGGCGGCGGCGGCAGCGGCAGCGGCGGCGGCGGCGGCGGCGGCGGTAGCGGTGGCGGCAGCGGCTGCGGCGGCGGCGGCGGTTTGGCAGCGGCGGCGGCGGCGGCGGCGGCGGCGGGCGGCGGCGGCGGCGGCGGCGGCGGCGGCGGCGGCGGCGGATTGGCCCCCAGTAGCTGCCCATCCCAAGACGACTGCTGAATATGCTGAGGCTCGGGCCAGACTCGGGTGCTACGTATGTGTTGGGAGGGCGGGTGGGAGTGAGCGAAACGGCTTGCGGGCGGGGAGGAGGTAACTTGACCACTCCCCCTCCCCCCTCCCCTGGACCTGGACGGGGGGGTTCGCGAGTCGTCGGAGCGTCCAAAACGGCCTCGGCGAGGAAGCCAAACTCATTGGTTTTACTCAGGTGTTGGCCCCATTTTGGCCTCTTGGGGGGGGGGGGGCGCTAATTAGTGCTCCCCTCTTGTTTGATCGATCTCCTCCAAGATGGCTCCAAGAAGCGCCCAGGAGGCCCCAAGAGGTCCCAAGATGGCCCCAAGATGGCCCCAAGAGGCCCCCAAGAGGCCCCCAGGAGGCCCCCCAAATGATCCCAAGCGGCCCCAAGAGGCCCCCCCCGAAGCACCCAAGACGCCGAAGAGCCCGCCGCGACCGCCAAGAGACCCCCAAGGCGTCCCAAGAGGCCACCAAGAATCGCCCAAGAGATACCCCAAGAGGCTCCGAGAGGCATCCAAGAGACCTCTGGCCCGTGTGCTTGCCCTCCTCCTCCTCCTCCTCCTCCTTCCTCCTCCTACTCCTTCTCTTCCTCCTCCTCCTCCTCCTCCGCCTCCTCCTCATCCTATGTGTCTTCCTTCTTCCCACTCCCTCATCCATCCATCCATCCATCCATCCACCTGCTCCTTCTCCTCCGCACTCCTTTACACGGTTCGGCCGTCCCCCTCTTTGCTGCCGCACTTCCCTGGTCACCTCAACTCGCCTGGACATCATTTCTGGATGGGCTGGTGGGGATACTTGTTCGGTCGCGGCCGCCAGCGAAGAGGCAGGCGGCGGGCAGGCTGGTGGGGATACGTGAAGCGTCTAGAGTTGGCAAAGCCGTCCCGCCAGGAAGCCGCAAGAAACGCCAAGTCGCCAGGCAGCCGACTGGCCTGCCCGAGAGCGAGAGAAAGAGAGAGCGAAAATCATGAGAACACACATACATACAAATCGAGAGGGCGAGAGAGAGAGAGAGAGAGAGCGACAACAACACCAACATCAACCACCACAACAACACCAACAACAACACAAACAACAAAAACAAACACAAAAACAAAAACAACAACAACAACAACAACAACAACAACAACAACAACAACAACAACAACAACAACAACAACACCAACAACAACAACAACAGCAACAACAACAACAACAACCGCAACAACAACAACACCAAACACAACAACTGCAACAGCAACAGCAACATCGACAACAACCAACAACAACCAACAACCAGCAACCAACAGCCAACAACAACACCAGCAACACCAACAACAACAACAACAACAACAACACCAACAACAACACCACCGACCCACTCGCATCCGTCAAGTCCTCCCGCCATCCCTGATTCCAGCTCCATCGGTTATCTTCTCGAGTTGGATCCCAAAAGTCGTCTCTAACCTCGCCGTCTCGGGCTCTCCAGCCTGTCCACCAGCCGGCATCGTCCATAATCTATCTGGTCGCGCTCCCTGTCCGTCTGTATATCAATCTCCCTCACCATCTCATTGTCGTCCGTCGGCATGCCGACGGGATACTATCGACGCTGTCACCCTCGGGCACCAAGGTCCTAGGCGGTGCCGTTCCAACTCACGCGTCTACTCAACTCCAGGCCGCTCGTCACCAGCAGCTCCGCTTACCACTGACAAGGGTCAGGGAGGCTCTGGGAGACAAAAGGGACTGTAGAGAGATAAACTTATTCATCGAAAGGCCACGCGCGTCCCCCCAGTGACTCCACGGAGTCACGCATCTAAGCCAAAGTGGCTGTCGAACACGAACAGAACAGGGGGGGAGAAACGGGGTACCCCCCAGGGAGGCGAAGGATGACAGCCGTTCGGGCCGACCTGGGCCCCCCTGGAGCGCTCTTGTCGAGGCGCAGCAGGTGGAGAGCACCCCGAGGCTGGAAAACCTGCAAGAACCTACGAAAACGTCCGAAAACCTCGAACGCCGAAAGTAGGAAAGAGGAGGGACAGCGAAGAGGAGGAACAACGGAGAGGGACATGAGGAGGAAGGGCAAGGGGAAGGCCCCATTTTGTTGTTGGACGAACCTCACAGCGGGCACATCGGATAACATCTTCATCTTACTATCAGCAATATGTGTGCACATCTTTCGTGGACCCTGCGCTTCGTAACGTGCCCAAGGGTTCTGCGGTCCCATCGGCATAGGCAAATCAAAGGCCTGAACATCTGTGCAAGCTGCTGGCAGGATGTACAAGGCGCGCACGACGAGTGAGCCAGCTTTGTGTCACTGTGTAGAGGGGAAGGGGCGGGGAGGGGAGGGGACCAGGGGGGGAGGGGAACGGGAGGACAACTCTCGTGGTGCAACCGTTGGCAGGTAAGCTTCTCATTCAGAGTGCCTGCTGTAAGGGGCCCTGGCCGCTCCTGCTCAGCTCGCGCAGATCGCTCACGGCCGCCTCGAGCTGCTGCTTGAACGAGCCCTCGAGGGAGTCCAGCAGCACCGCCGCCTGCAGAGGGGGGAGGCGATAGGGCTGAGCGGTAACAAGGAGGAGAGAAAGAGAGAGAGAGAGAGAGCATCTAGAGGCCACCTGCTAGATGTACACGTGGAGGGCCGCCGCGCTTTGCCACGCGAGGGCTGGGCGCTGGACAGACAAGCGGCCACGTGTATCCAGCCCTCCCCCAGGCCGGCCCACGTCGTGTGCATCCAGCTTCCTGGCAGTCTTCCCCCTGAGCAGAGAATATGTGGAGGCAGCCGCAAGAAACCCTCGCAAGAAACCCAGCCCTGAAAACCCGCACGGGCCTTATGCAAGTGAGGGGGAGCAGCTCCTTCAACGGCCTCTGGAAGTCACCACGCATCGCGAGGAGTAAAGAAGCCCAGGGTACCCTGACGAAAAACTTAAGTTTCTTGTTGCGCGTCCCCACTGTACAAGGCAGTCCCGTGCCTGCGTGCGGCATCACACCTGCGTTCCGTGAGGGCCGCCCGCGTGCCCGCGTGCAGCTACGCAAAAGTTCCTGTCCGTAGAAGTTACGGTCAGGTACCGTTGCATGGCGTGTCGCGGCGGCGCCCCCGGCGACACGCCATGCCATGTGAGCGAATAGCGTGTCGCTCCGCTCCGCGGGGCGGGAGACCGGAAAAAGCTCGGGACGTTGACGCTTGGGAAGTTGGAAGTGGAAAGAGTGACGCGCCGAAGCGAGGTGGGCCAGAACCGGAGGAGCGACACGCTACCTCCGAATTCCCGACCGTATGGCGGGGAAGAAAACGGGGCCCACGACCAAACCTGAACGCGGAGACGTCGGTGTCGATCTTGGCCATCGCCCACCCTGGTCAGCGTCAACTCGTGGACCTCCTTCGCGGATTGGCGACGGCCGGCATGGATATTGACCAAGATCGGCGCCGACGAGATCCCGACCTTAGTGGGCCCGGGAAACGGCAGGGCCGTTTTTTCGCCGTTTCCGAAAAAGTGTCCCTTGAAAATGGAAACGGCAAAAAAACGGCGACCGGACACGACAAAAAAACGCTTCCAAGATTGGACCCGGAGCCCGAACCGGTAAAAAACCGGCGACGGAACCGGTAAAAAAACGGCGTCGGAACCAGCAGGAAACTGTAAAACGGAACTGGTAAAAAAACGGCCCTGTCGTTTCCAGGGCCCACTAAGTCTTGGCCATGGTCAGTGCGCTTCTTCCCTCGGTTCTGGAGCGCACCATCTGTTCCGTCTGCGAGCCGTGCCGTGCCGTACCATGAGGAGCGCGCGCTGCGAGGAGCTCGCGCTGGAAATGGCTCCACGAACCTCGACTCCTCGACCCTCTGCTCCTCCACCCTCGATCCTCGAATCCCGGTCATCAAACCTCGATGCCTCGATGCCTCGATACTCGAATCTCGACGATCCGCGACCCTCGATCCTCGACCCTCGATCCTCGACCCTCGATCCTCGAACCCTGGTCATCGAGCCTCGATGCCTCGATGCTCGAACCTGGGTCCTCGACCCTCGATCCAGACATCCGACGTCGTGATTTTTGCGCAGCGTGTGGCTCCCTGGAGGTCTGGACCCCTGCCGGGGAGATTTGCTTGTTGTTCATCCCGAGCCATTGTGTGACAGCCCCAGGGCCTTGTTTCCCACAGCGTGTGTGTGTGTGTATGTGTGTGTATGTGTGTGTGTGTTTTCCCCGTGTGTGTGTGTGTGTTTGTTGTGTGCGTTTTTTTTTCCCACAGTGTGTGTGTGTGTGTGTGTTTTGTGTGTTTTTTGTTTCCCCACGTGTGTGTGTTTTTTCCACAGTGTGTTTTTTTTGACACACGCCCTCCGTCGTGACTGCTTCGACCCTCGACCGCCTCGACCCGCGATCCTCGAGGACGTCACAGGGTAGCCTCCGGCCCTCGATCCCCGAATTCCCCTCGGTCGTCGAGCCTCGGTCCTCCGAGGGGGCGGGGAGGCGAAAAGGGCGGTGGGCCCCGCTCCTCGTCCTGCACCGTCCTCTGGACCTCCTGCATGGTGCTGTCCTCTCGCCGCCCCCGCGCGCTGCCGCGCGGCCCTCGGCTCCCGGCCTGCGCCCACCCGCCACCTCACAGACCCTGGCTCGCCACCTGCACGGGCAAGGTGTACATATATATATATATATATGTATATATACACAAAAAAACTGTATTGGCACTTCGCGCCCTGCACCTTGGTCCTTGAAATTTGGTATGCAGGCGGAATGGCAGGACAATCAATCCGACAATTTAGCGATACCTCTTTGCTGCCTTTTCCGGCATCGCCGTTATAGCAATGTTAGTCGTTTTCCTTCCTCCATGTTGTTTTTCCTCGTTCTCGCCCTGCTCTGCGTATTCTCCCCATCCTCCTCAGCTCTTTTTGCGGAGGCTCCTCCTCGGAGAGCCTCTGGGGGCTTCACGGAAATTTGTCAAGCTTTCCTAAGGCCTTCTGGAGGCCTCCTGGGCGTCTTCTAGGGGCCTCTGGGGGCTTCCTCGGGCCACCCTGCCTCCGACCGCGGTCTCCCTGCAAGGATGCTTCGGAGGGTTTCTTAGGGCCAATTTGGGCCGTCATGGGGCTGTCTGAGGCCATCTTGGAAGTCTGTCGTGCCGTCTTGTGGCTCTCTTGGACTGCCTGGAAGCCCTTTCGGATGGTTGGTGGCCGATTTTCGAGCCTCCTATGTTGTTTCGGACGCCCAGAAGACCGCCGTCCTGGAGCGTCAGGAAGCCGAAAAAAGGAGAACCCCAAAATTCACCAAAAACCAAGAGGAACTCAATGAATGTTGCCTCTTGGGGCCTTCTTGGGAGTGCTCTTGGAGAACTTGGAGGCCTCTTGAGACGTTTTGGAGCGACCTTTGGGGGTATGACGGCTTCTTTGGGGTCGCCGTGGACCGTCTTGGGGCTCTCTGGGGTCGTTTCGGGAGCGCGCTGGAACTCCTGGAGCCCTCTGGGGCCGTCTTCGGGCTCTCGTGGGGTTCGCCCGGCTCGTCTGGAGTGTTGCCCCAGAGGGCCAAATTCGCTAGAGTAGGGGGCGTTTTTTTCCAGGGCCCCTGGCCCTATTCAAACATGTAACTAGGAATACACACGCAATGAGTCTTGGACTTTCTCGGAAGGTTCACCACTAGGCCGACCGAGGCGCAGTGGATATGGATAACAATCTAGTCTCCAGGGGTCGGCTTTTGTATCAATATCCACTGCGCCTCCGGTTTCTGGGGAAGGGAGCCCGAAGCTCAAAGACGCAGCGGATATGGAAACAAGTCTTGCCCGCAACCTGCGCTCACCCGTCCACTGACAATGTTGAAAAATCACGACGGGAGGTTTGATACGTGTTCGGCATCCGGAGGTCATTTCTTGGCCCCGGGGCCATGACTCCTCCTCCTCCTCCTCCTCCTCCTCCTCCTCCTCCTCCTCCTCCTCCTCCTCCTCCTCCTCCCCCCTCCTCCTCCGCCTCCTCCTCATCCGCCTCCTTCCCCTTCCTCCTCCTCCTCCTCCTCCTCCTCCTCCAAATCCTTCCTCCTCCTCCCCTCCTCCTCCTCCTCATCCGCCTCCTCCTCCTCCTCCTCCTCCTCCTCCTCCTCCTCCTCCTCCTCATCCGCCTCCCTCCTCCTCCTCATCCTCCCATTCCGTGCTCCTCCTCCTCCTCCTCCTCCTCCTCCTCCTCCTCCTCCTCCTGGGCGCGCGCGCGCGGGGAGGAGCGGGGACGAGGCTGAGAAGCCCTGGCAAGGGCTGCTGAATCCGCGGCTGCTAAAACATTGACCTCCGGGAAGTTGTCTTCGTCCTTCCGGGAAGCGTTATCCTCCTCTTGCTCCTCCTCCTCCTCCTTCTCTTCCTCAGCCTTGTCCACTCCTTCTCCCCCTCACTCCTTCTTCTCCTGAAACCACACCCTCGCGCGAGCGGAAGGCGAGATTGCCGCGCCCGCATCCCGCTCATGTATATCGCAAGGAAGCACTACGAGTTCCCGGCGGTAACCAAGGTTGACGGTTTATCGCCAGCTCCCAGTTGTCTTCGTCCTTCCGGGAAGGAGCCCGTTGACTGTGCCGCGTGCCGCGCCTCACTCCGGGAGGTTGCTTTTTCCTTCCGGGAGGGCCGTTTTGGCAGCCATGGTTTTAGCAGCCCCCGCCCAGCTTTCGAGAGACAGGGGGGAGCGAGTGCACCAGGGAGGGGGGGAGGTGAGCTCAGACACCACCTCGCTGCGCAACAGGTCACGACGACGAGCTGCTGCCAAACCCTGGGCCCTGGGGGCGTCAAGGGACCACTGAGGATGAGAGGCCGGTCCTGGGGAAGGGGTCCCGACCTCTGGGGGGGCCACGCGGCGCAAAGAGCACGGCGGAGGACGTCTGGGTGGGGCCAGCTCTTCACGTGCCGCTCCCCGGGTCGGGGAACGGCCGGCGCCTAAAGCGTCCAGGGGCTAGCCACAAAACGTCCAGAGATCTGGGGGGGTGCGATACGGGGTGATGTTTTCCGGGGGGGCTCCGGCCGCAGCGGACGCGGGGCGACCCCGATCCACGAGGTTCACTCTCGGCGGGTGCGGCGAAGACCGCAGCAGGAGAGCCGCTTGGGGAGAGAGCCCCAAGGGCGAGGAGCGGGAGAAAAGGCCCATCCCTCAGACCTCCAGAAGAGGAGAGGACACAGCGCCATACACAGAAACTTTTGACGCTCCGCGTGGATCTCTTGGATCTGCGCTGGGCCCCCCTCCCTGGCGCGCGGAGCGCGCCGGGGGCGCCGGAGGCGCCGCGCCGGCGGGGGGGGGGGGCCCAGCGCGGAGCCAAGAGAGCCGCGCGAGGCGCCAAAAGTTTATGCTTCATGGCGCTGTTGCTTCGCCGGGAGAAGGCAGAGGGCCTGGTGAGAGCCAGGGACCTGGCAGGGAGCCACCACCTGCGACTCGAAGCACGCCCTGGGAGCAGGTGAGGGGCGGGAGACCGGCTCGGGCCCACCGGCCTCGGAGAGGAGGACAGCGTGCGATGGACGGGCGGGCTGCTGCACTGAGGAACGCCGGATCAGGCACGAAGCCCCTCTCTGGCCCCAGGGGCGCCTGCGCGCACGAGAGCGGGGCTGGAAGAACAGGAAGGGCCTCAGGGAGGGCCTCAGGAACGGCGAGCCCCTTCCGAACCCAAGGCGTTCCTTTCCTCAGCGTCTGGACTGTGGGGCGATCAGCTCTGACATCTTGGGCCGGATGGGGAAGCCGGCGGCAATGAAAGGCTCCAGCAGAAGTTCGGAGCACACGTATGCAGGCCCAAGGCGGGGCAACTATCCTTGTGGCAGAGCTTTACCTGGCCTGCAATCCTTCCATACATACGCTTCGCTGGGAAAGTAATGCAACTCTGGTCGTCGATGTGTTAGTTTTCGTCGCCTTCCGTTGTTCGTCGTTCTCGGCCTGTGGGGGCCGCTTCCGGGCCCCAGAACCAAGGGAAACGGACCCGGGATGAAAACCTTCCCCCAGGGGAGTCCACCTGCACGACCTGCGAGGACCTGCGAGGAAGAGGAGGCGAGGAGGAGGAGGGGAGGAGGAGGAGGAAGAGGAGGAGGAGGAGGAGGAAGGAGGAGGAGGAGGAGGAGGAGGAAGAGGAGGAAGAGGAGGAGGAGGAGGAGGAGGACTGCATTGGTTTCCCAAGGCGGAGCAGGTGCCCTCTCCCCTGTCGCCTCCTCGGTCGCTCCCTCTCTGTGCTCGTGCCCTCGTCGTCGTCCTCCGATGCTTGTGGGCCCGTGCGGGGCTATCCCTCACCCGACGCCCGCCGGCTCCCCAGCCCCCCGACGTCATGATTTGCAGCGGCTTGCACGCATTCCCCAGGACCGGCTCTCATCCTGAGTCGGCTTTTGACGGCCCCAGGGCCCCCGAAGTCAAAAAGGTAGAAAAAACGCTCTTCACGAGTTCTTCCTGACCCGAGAGGGTCTGAGCTATGCGCTGCTGTGCTGCATCGAAGCAGAGCTTTCGAGCAGCCCAGATGGCGTTGGCATTCGGGCCGCGCTCCGCTTGGCTTCCCCGCTGCCGGAGCCCCCGCGCGCACGGGTGGAGTCCCGCAGCGGGCCCGCCTGTGGGAATCCCGGAGCCGCCGCTGCCGTCCTCGTCCTCGTCGCCGCCCGCCTCGGTCAGTCTCCTGGGCCTTCGCTGATCATGCGTTGGGGGGCCTGCCTTCGAGAAGGCCGCGTCGGAGCCGCCGTTCAGAGGGCGTCGGCCCGAGCGCAACTTGACTGACGAACCAGCAACACACACCCATACCCATAGGGAGATCGGAGAGGGCTATGGGTGCGTGTTGTCGGATGGGGGTCCCCGCTCGAACGGGAGCGTTCCCCAGGGTCCGACAACCCGCACCCATACCCATAGCCAGTCCTCCTCCCAACGGCCTCCCTATGGGTATGGGTGTGTGTTGTTCGTTCGTCATTGACGTTGCTCCCAGGAGCTGCTACTCTGAGCGGGCGTAGCCCCCAACCCAAAGCCAGGGCCCCGTCCAGATGGCCCTTGATCTCGTCCGACAGCCGCCCCACGCAACGCCTCGGCTGGAACGGCGCGCCGAGGGACCGCGATGGGGGCACAGGGCGCTCCCGGCAAAGCAATTCTGGGGGCCCAACCTCACATACGCACACCCACACACATACACATACACATACACATATACACACACCACGCACACACACACACACGCACACACACACACACACACGCACACGCACACGCACACACACACACACACACACACACACACACACACACACGCACACGCACACGCACACACACACGCACACACACACACACACGCACACCCACACACCCATACACATACACATATACACATACACACACACCACACACATAGAGCGACACACACACACACACACACACACGCACACACACCCTGATGGGGGGGGGGACACGCACGCCGATCGATACGCTTCCCCTCCCTCGAGCCCCCCCGCGACGAGTGAAGGACCAACCGATCCTCTGTGCCTGGCGGCTTCGCCCGACCGGACTCGCGAGCGGCGCACGCACCCGAGGCCGCGAGCCCGCGGGCCGCCGCCTCGCTCCGCGCGCCGGGGACAGGGGGGGGGAGGAGGAGGAGGAGGAGGAGGAGGAGGAGGAGGAGGAGGAGGAGGAGGAGGAGGAGGAGGAGGAGGAGGAGGAGGACAGTCCAGGAGAGCCGCGGGCCTCCGGGCACCCGTGCGTGCCAACAGGTGCTCCTCGCATATGGCAGGCCCCCTCCTGCTGCTCCTTCGCGGCTCTCCCGACCAGCCCCAGGGCATCCTCATCAGCCGCTCGCTCGGGCGGGGGGTCTCACGACAGCCGGCCCTCCGCGGACCCTCGTGGAATATGTTCAAGAGCCTCGAACAACATGTGTCTGCGAACGTGGACCCCGATCGGTTGGTTATTGTACTCCGGATGTGTATGTTATGTGGAGCAAGCTATGCGGTGCAAGATATGCAGTGCAAGCAGTGCACTGTAAAAATGCGGTACGAGCTATGCGGCGCAAGCAAGATGACGAAAACTATGTTGTGTAAGCCAGGCGGTGCAAGCTCTATGGGGGAAGGTGAGTGCTACAAACTATGTGATGGAAGCTGCTTGGTGCAAGCTCCGCGGTGTAGGCTGTGTGGCGGGCGCTCTGTGGTGCAAACCCTGCTGTGCAAATTACGTGGTGTAAGCTTTGGGGTGGCAGCTGCAAGATCTGTGGTGGAAGCTGTGGTGCAAGCTACGTGGTGCAGGCTGTGCGGTGCAAGCGAGCGCAGGGAGCGCCCACGACACCCCCCCCGTGCGCCCAGCGGACACAAAGCCTCCGCAACCGGCCGACACGCACGGGGCGCCGAAGCGCCCACGAGGCGGCCACCAGCCGGGCACCCGGCGCAAGCCCCGCCAGACCCACCCAACACATGGAGCGCCCGCGAGGCACCCGCTGGCGGCCGACAACCGGGCACCGGGCGAAACCCCGCCAGGCTCCAGCTGCTCAGGTCAAGCGACGTGAGCACTCGTGCACGCAAGCGCTGCTGGCTTGGGGAACTGTGGGCTCCCGATCCCGAGGTCACGACCTATTGCAACATTCGCCCTGAGAGAGCCCCGGGACGATCCTACGAAGGCATCCAGAGGGCAGCAAGGATATATCAAAGAGGGCGCCCACAGAATGCTCTTCTGTCGTGCCCCATGGGATCGCAACCAAGGCCCCCCAATAAGGGCTCGAGCTGTTACTAATTCCACCGGGTGCCCAGCAGTCTTTAGCATCTACATATGACCCAAAGGGCCGTTCCATGGGCCGTTCCATGTAAGTTTGCAGATGGGAATGCAACATGTAAGGGGGTTGAAGCGATCTACACCCAAGAGCCACTCAGGGCAAACCTTCAAGAATACCCTCAATCCGCACGTGTTGCGCTGCCGTGTGCGGGCAAACGACAAACGATACTAATCCAACGCATCGCCGGATATTCATGCAATAGAACCTGGCACGGCCCCCCCGGTGCTTACTCCGACCTCTAAATTTACACATAACAGTAACGTAGGTAAGTATACATGCATGTATCTGCTATTACGGATCCAGGCATACATAGGTATAAAGCTTTGTATGTACTCATACGTGAATATAAACACATATCAGTACACATACATACATACGTGTGTGTATCATATCGACGCGAACACGTACACACACATGTACATGTACACGTACACCTATAGATGTACGTATGCGCATATCCTTTTTTATACGTTTACAACTGGGACCCTGCGACTCCCCCCCACTTAAACGGGACACCCCGGATCCCTGGTCCAAGGCCCCCTGGACGTCCCTGCAGAAGGTCACCTGGACTTTTGGGAGCTCCTGGAATCCCCTGCTGGGCCCAAGTAGCGGGTCCAAATTGGTCAGGAGGGCGACCGAACGGCCCCCCGAGGGCCCAAAGAGGCCCCAAACACCCACCAGACGCCCGAAGACGACCCAAAGCACACCCCCAAGATTCTTCCGAAATGTAGAACAACATTGATTACCAATTGTTTGGCTTTGTCCTGTGGTCTTCCAGGCGTCCGAGACCGCCAAAGAGGAGCGAAAACTTCCCCAAAACTGTCAGGACGGGCTCCCAGGCAGTCCACGAGACCCCCAGAACGGCCCAATAGGGCCCCCGAAATGCCCCGAAGAGAGCCCTACGACGGCCCAAGATGGCCCCGAAACGCCCCCGACGCATTCCAAATCGTGACCCGGTCATTCAGGTAAACTGCAATTGGAAGCGGCTTGGCCCGAGGAAGCCCCTGGAGCCCAGAGGCCCCCAGGACGCGCCCAACAGGCCTCCAGAAGGCCCCAAGAAGCTTGGTAAAACTGTTATGAGACACCCTGGAAGCTCTACAAGGAGGAGCCCTCGTAAACAGAGCAGAAGCGGAATAATACTTCGCAGGGGAGGGCGAGAATGAGGAAGACGAAGAAGACGCATGAGGGAATAATAACGAATGACATGAGTATGACGACGATGCCGGAGGGCAACTATGTATATATGTATATAGATGTGTGTGTGTGTGTACTGCGAGACGTCGCTGGGCTGCTCGCGGACAGGTCGGGCGGCGTGTCATGGGTAGGCCGCGGCGCGGACCGCGGGGCGATGAGGCCCGACCTAAAACAAGATTCCGCAGCATGTGCTTTTTCATCGGTTTCGCACGATGCCTTCTTCGGGGGCGTGTTGGGCCTGTTGGGGGTCTCCTGGAGGCTTCCCAGAGGCTTCCTGGGCCTCCTGAGGCCTGGGCCCTTACAGGGACCTCTTTGGGGCTCCCTGGGGGCCTTTTGTAAGCATCTTGGTGCTCTGTTGGGTGCCTTTTGCGGCCTCCCGGGGGCCTCAGGGCGGCCTCGAAATACCAGAAGGAATTCCTTCTTGGGCCTCTCCAGGGGCCCTCCGGGCACGTCGTGGACAGTCTTGGGCACCTCTTGGGCCGTCTCGGGCTCACGGGGCCATCTGAGGGCTGCTATACGGCTATTCGGATATAGGTAGGGCACCCGGGCACCTGGGCACCTGGACGTGCAACCGAAATCGGCGGCACACACCTAACACCTAACCATATGAATGCACAAGGACCCCTGCAGACGCAAGCTCTGATTGGGGAGTAGGGCTATAGGGCTATAGGGCTATAGGGCTGTAGGGCTATTGCGCTATGGGGCTATTGGGCTATAGGGCTCTAGGGCCCTAGGCTCTAGGGCATAGGGCTATTGGGCTATTCGGCTATAGGACTATAGGGCTATGGGGCTATGGGGCTATAGGGCTATATGCCTATAGGGCTATAGTGCTATGGGGCGACAGGGCTATCGGGCTATAGGGCTATGGGGCTGTAGGGATATATGGCTGTAGGGCTATAGGGCTATAGAGGCTAGATGGCTGTAGGGCTATTGGGCTGTAAAGCTGTAGGGGCTATCGGACTATAGAGCTATGGGGATATAGGGCTATATAGCTATAGGGCTATGGGGCTATAGGGCTATGAGGCCATTATAGGGCTGTAGGGCTAGATGGCCATAGGGCCATAGGGCTATAAGGCTACGGGGCTCTCGGACTATATGGTTATAGGGCGACATGGGAAAAAGGGCAATTGGGACATAGGGCTATAATCATACAGGCCTAAAAGGCAAAACGGCTATCGGGCTGTAGGGCTATCGGGCTGTAGTGATATGTGGCTATTGGGCTCTAGGGCTGTAGGGCTAGAGGGCCATACGGCTATTAGGGTATAGGGCTATCGGGCTATGGGGCTATAGGGCTGTATGGCTATGGGGCTATATGGGGCTAGAGGGCTATAGGGATATACGGCTATTGGGCTATAGGGCTACAAGGCTATAGGGCTATGAGGATGCAGAGCTGTAGGGCTATAAGGCTATACTGCTACAGGGGTATAGGGCTGGATGGCTATAGGGCTATATGGCTGTAGGGGCTATGGGGCTATGGTGATGTAGGGCTGTATTGCTTTAGGGCTATGAGGGTCTAGAGGGCTATATATATATGGCTATACGGCTATTGGGCAATAGGGCGATCGGGGTAAAGGGTTATGGGGCTCTAGGGCTATAGGGCCATATGGCTATAGGGGCTAGGGCTATAGGGCTATAGGGCTATATGGCTCTTGGGCTATAGGGCTATAGGACTTTACGGCTATAGGACACCTGGGCACGCCGAAATCGGCGGCGCATCTAACCTAACCATCTGATTCCGCTAGGACCCCTACAGAGGCAAACTCTGATTGGGGAATGCATCCGCCAGGACCCCTACAGAGGCAAGCTCTAGGGCTATAGGGCTATAGGGCGACAGGGCTATAGGGCTATAGTGCTATGTGGGTGTAGTGTTGGGTATAGGGCTATTGGACTATGTGGCTATTCGGCTATAGGGCTAGCGGGCCAGAGGGCTATAGGGCTATAGGGCTATGTGGCTGCAGTGCTATATCGATATAGGGCTGTAGGGCTATAGTGCTCTAGTAGGGCTATAAGGGGTGTAGGGCTATAAGGCTACAGGGCTATACGGCTATTGGGCTATCGGGCTATATGGCTATGGGGCTGTAGGGCTACGCGGCTATAGGTCTATAGGGTCAGACGGGCTAGAGGGGCTATAGGGCTATGGGGCTATGGGGCTATTGGGCTATAGGGCTCTAGGGCTATGTTGCTATAGGGCTATAGGGCTATAGGGCTACGCGGCTATGGGGCTATGGGGCCATAGGGCCGTAAAACTATAAGGCAAGAGGCCTATAGGGCCATACGGTTTTAGGGCTCTAGGGCTATAGGGCACCCGGGCACGCCGAAATCGGCGGCGCAGCTAACCTAACCATATGAATCAGCAAGCTCTGATCGGGAAATTAATCCACTAGGACCCCTACAGAGGCAAGCTCTAGGGCTATAGGGCTATAGGGCTATAGGGCTATATGGCTATAGTGCTATAGGGCGATCGGGCTATAGAGCTATAGGGCTATCGGGCTATAGGGCTAGTGGGCTCTAGGGCTCTAGCGCTATATGGCTATAGGGCTATAGGGATATAGGGCAATACGGCTGTAGGGCTATAGGTCTGTTGGGCTAAGGGACCTGGGCGGGCCGCCGAAATCGACGACGCGGCTCCCGGGCACCCGGGCACCCGGGCACCCGCGAGTGCCGCCGAAATCGGCGGCACAACTAACCTAATCATGTGAATCCGCTAAGACCCCTACAGAGGCAAGCTCTGATTGGGGACTGTTTTCGGCCGTCTCGCCTTTTCGCTTCCGATGGGCTTTTGAGGCCCCAAGACCGCCCCAAGAGAGCCCCAAGAGGGGCCCCAGAGAAGCCCAAGCCGGTCCCAAGAGCGCCCCAAGAGCTGCCCAAGAGGGCCCCCGCTGGCCTCGCCGGGAGGCGGTACACACCGATCCTGGGCCAGAAAAGGCTTCCGTTCTAGCCTAGAGCGGCCTGTAGTCCGTTCTATTCTCAATCGGCTTCTTCCTCCTCGGGCCCCTCCCCCCACCCCCTCCCCCTGGACCTGGAGGGGCACAATCGCGGTTAGTTGGAGCGTGTGCGTTGGCCTAATGGCGCCAAGAGGGCCCAAGAAAGCTCAATATGACCTCCAAGATCGCTCAAGATAGCCTTCGATGACTCAAGATAGCTCGCAAGATGCCTACAAGACGCTCCAAGATCGCCCCAAGACGGCTCAAAGTGGCCACGCAGCCTCCCAAGGAGGCCCCCGACAGGCCAAATTCCTTCCAAAACCCGAGAGAAAATCAGTGATACCGGAGAAAAAAAAACCCAAACAGAGTGCTTGTTGTTTTGGGCTTACGGCTATAGGGCTAGAGGGCTATAGGGCTATAAGGGCTATAGGGCTATAAGGCTATAGGGCTATATGACTATAGGGCTAATGGGCCATAGGGCTATAGTACTATAGGGCTATAGGACTATCGGGCTATAGGGCTATCGGGCTATATGCCTATATGGCTGTAGGGCTCTAAGGCTCTAGGGCTCTAGGGCTCTAGGGCTCGAGGGCTCTAGGGCTATAAGGCCATAGGTTTACAGGGCTATAGGGCTACAGGGCTATAGGGCTATAGGGCTATTGAGCCTTATGGCTATAGGGCTATTTGGCTACAGGGCTAGAGGGCTATATGGCTGTAGGCTATAGGGCTAGAGGGCTAGAGGGCTAGAGGGCTATAAGGCTATAGGGTTATAGGGCTGTTAGGGCTAAAAGAGCTTTAGGGCTATGGGGCTATGTGGGGCTAAGGGGCCAAAAGGGCTATAGGGCTATGGGGATATGTGGGGCTAAGGGGCTATAGGGCTGTTGGGCTCTAGGGCTATCGGGGTATAGGTCTATGGGGCTGTAGGGCTATGTGGCTATAGGGCTGCAGGGCTATAGGGGCTATAGGGCTCGAGGGCTATTAGGGCTATTAGGGCTATAGGGCTATAAAAGGCAGGGCTATAAGGCCATAGGGCTACATGGCTATAGGGTTAATGAGCTATAGGGCTATAGGACTATCGGGCTATAGGGCTTTAGGGATATAGGAATATAGGGCTATAGGGCGCCTGGGCACGACGAAATCGGCGGCGCAACTAACCTGACCATATCCATCCGTGGATCCGCTAGGATTTCGACAGAGCCAAGCTCTAGGGCTCTAGAGCTATAGGGCTATAGGGCTACAGGGCTATAGGGCTATAGGGCTACTAAAAGAGCTATACGGCTATAGGGCTGTAGGGCTATTGGGCCATAGGGTTATATGGCTATAGAAGTATACGGCTATATGGCTATGGGCACCCAGGCACCCGGGCACCTGGGAGTGCCGCCGAAATCGGCGGCGCAGCTAACCTGACCATATGAATCCGCTAGGACCCCTACAGCGGCCCAAGATGGCCTAAGAGAGCCCCAAGAGTGGCCCCAGAGAAGCCCAAGCCGGACCCAAGAGCTGCCCAAGAGGGCCCCCGCTGGCCTCGATGGGAGGCGGTACACACCGATCCTGGGCCAAAAAAGGCATCCGTTCTAGCCTAGAGCGGCCCCGTTCTACGCTAGAACGGAACCGTTCTAGGCTAGAACGCCGCCGTTCTAGGCTAGAGCGGCCCCGATCTACGCTAGAACGGCACCGTTCTAGGCTAGAACGGCGCCGTTCTAGGCTAGAGCGGCCCCAATCTACGCTAGAACGGCACCGTTCTAGTCTAGCGGCGTTCTAGCTATAGGGCTACAGGGCTATAGGGCTATGCGGCTGTATGGCTATAGGGCTATTGGGATATAGGGCTATCAGGCTATAGGGATATAGGGCTATAAGGCTGCAGGGCTATTGGGCTGTATGGCTATAGGGCTATACGGCTATATGGCTAGAGGGCTATAGAACTACAGGGCGATAGGGCTATTGGGCTATCGGGCTATAGGGCTATGGGGCTGTAGGGCTACGTGGCTTTAGGGCTATGTGGCTATAGAGCGATCGGGGATGTAGGGCTACAGGGATGTAGGGCTATACGGCTATACGGCTATTGGGCTATAGGGCTACAGGGGCTAGAGGGCTGTGCGGAGATTGGGCTATAGGGCTACAGGGCTGTAGGCAAGAAGGATAAACCGAAGAAGAACGCGAAGGCGTCCGCCGCGAAGGAGTCCGCGAAGACAGAGGGGTGGCAATCCCGAAACACCCACTTGTGACTGCATTGCAGAAGGAGACTTATGTCAAGACACAACTATTTCCGTGAAGGGGACAGGTCCCGTGACCAGCTCGACCTCCGCATCCAGGCATCTCGTCTCAATCGAAGGACTCTTCCACTGCATCACAACCGTCGAATCGTGGACTTCGAACGAACGAATCTCGGCACCGCCGCTGAGCCGAGCACTCCATGGAACTGCGGGTCACGGCCTCCTCGGCAACCTCGCCGAGGTCGGCGACTTCAACCCCGTCGGGGGGATCCTACGGCAAAAACTGGGAAGAGAGGAGGATCCGCATAGCACCGTGTGGGCACGCTCCATTGCCTCTGCCGCTGTGTCTTCTACTCGCGCGCCCTGCGCCTTTCAGAAACCCACGCGGAGACCTTGGATCAGCGATGGACCCCCTCCCTGGCGCACGGAGCGCGCCAAGGGGAGGCGCCAGAGGCGCCGCCAGGGGCCCGGAGGGGTCCAGCGCCGACCTAGAGAATCCACGCGGAGTTCCGAAAGGCTATGCTGGCGAGGTTTGTCTTGTTCGATGCCCTGCCCCGAGTCACCCAAGTTCTCGCATCGCGTCCCGCGAGGCGCGACGCGAGATCGTATGCGCGCCCTCGCGCCGCCCTGCGGAGAAGGGCAGCCGCTCTGGCCGGACCGCGACGCGCGACGCGCGACCACCTTCCCGCCGCGCAGATGGCTTGCAGGAGGCACAGACCGAGAATAGCTTACTAAAAGAAACCCCAAAGCACATCCGATGCGGGTCTTTCAGCCTTCGAGGGTACTCACGCGCTTCTGCGGGCCCCCCGGGGCCATCGCGGGAGAAGACGGTCCTGTGGGGCATCTGAGATCTGCAGGCACGCCACTTTTCGGGTCGGGCGAAAGGGGGGGACAGCAAAGGGGGGGGGGTTGAGACTCGGCTCACGCAGCTGATCTTCCCGGCGCCTCCCGGCGCCGGAGGCGGCTGTGTACCGAGGAGTGGGCCCCTCGGTGGGGCCGAAAGCAGCTGCACGCGCAGCAACTTTCGTACCCCCCCCCCCGTTCCCCATCCCCTCGTTTCGTCCGGCCCGAGCTTTCTGACTGGCTGCGCCGAGTTGGTCGGGCCTCGGGCTGCGCACAGGCAGCCCGCCTTCCGGCGGGCCTCCGCGGGCCTCCCGGGTGCAGCCCCAGCGGGCCTCTCCGCGGGCCCCCCGAGCAGCTCCTCGGAGGCCGCCCCGGCGGTCGCCCGAGGCGTCCTCGGAGACGGACCCGAGTGCCAGCACCGTGCGGCGACCCCGAATCCCCACCGGCTGGCCGCGCGATGCTGATGGGCGCGTTTTCAACCACCACCGCCATAAGTTGGAGGGGGGGTCCTCCTCCTCCTCCCCCTCCTCCCCCTCCTCCTCCTCCTCCTCCTCCTCCTCTTCCTCCTCTTCGTCATCCTCCTCCTCCTCCTCGTGCTCCACCTCATTCCCCCCTCCAACTTATGGTGGTGGTGGTGGTGGAAAACAGGCCCATCAGATGTGGTCACCACACCGTGTGGGGACCCCCGATGTCTCTGCGCAGCCCGGAGCCTTGCCACTGTCGTCGGCCACGCGCAAGAGAGCGACCCTGGGTGAGAATAACTTTGGTGCGAGGCTTTCTGGGGGCCGCGGGGAGACCTTGCACGAGCGCGCAGGACGCTGCTATCGCATCGCGCTCGGCGATCGGGGAGGGTCACTCCGGCAAAAGGTCACTCTTAAGTGTCGTCGATCGGAAGGGACCAGACCTCATGGCCCTGGAAACGGCAGGGCTGTTTTTTTTTCACCGCTTGATAGCGGTAAAAAACTGGCGACCAGAAGCAACCAAACAAAAACTGCTCTGGGATGGGAGCCAGAAGCGGACACGGACAACAAAAACGGCGACGGAGCCAGCAAAAGACGGCGACGGAACGGTTAAACCAAAAAACAGAACGGAGCCGCTAGAACAACGGCCCTGCCGCTTCCAGGGCCCAGTAAGGGCCAGACTCCCCTGAACCCAGCCCCGAGGCGGGCCACGCAGCGCGACAACCCGCCCCGCGACGCAGGACGCCCCGATCTGCACGTCCCCTCGCGCAGGGAAGTGGGCGTCCGCGACGGCGACACACCGGTATGTGGTGATTGTTGTTCGGTGCGGCGAACGGGGGGCTGTCGCGCAGTGTGGCGCGCCAAGTGCTACGAGACGGGAAATCAAGCGGCACGGGCCTGTATCGCTCCAGTGAGAGATGGGCAGGGCTTGCGCGAAGTCTGAAGGCACACGTCGAAGCCTCTCCGGAATGGCACGCAGGCGTACGAGCCAAAGAGGAATTTCCGAGGCGGGGCAGAGAGAGAGTCTGCTTCGAGTGACGACGGGAGCCAGCCGATGTGCGACTGGTCAGCCTCGCTCCCGGATTCGAGCGCTGCCTGGCCCAGGTGTGAGCTTGCTTGCTCTTGAGAGCCTTGACTATGTGGGACTCATGGCTGGTATTGTTTGTTAGCGTTTCCTGAAGGGTGCTCGAGACGGCGGCCCTTGTGATTATGCGGATGGCCTGCTCCGAAACCCTTAATCAACAAAACATACCTTGGGGTCGCATGTGTTGCTCCCGCCGCCGTGCGCTGGTCCAGAAACGCGACGGCCGAGAGCGGACAGACGCCGCAGTTGGCGCACCCCTGCAATTCAATGCCTTTGGCTGCTGCTTCGGCCTGCACTCACAGGCTCGGGAAGGACATGCAAGCCCATCAACTGGCAAGGGCAAAGGTCGAATCGCACGCAACCTCGTTATCCCAACTCGTGGGTGGAAGGCAAGGCGCATCGTGTCCCCGCGTGGGTACCTGTGTCTGTCCCTCCCTGATCTGCTCTTGTCTGTTGCCGCCTTCCCTCCCCCACCTCCCCGTATATCATAGCCCCCGCAGGCGCGGATATGAGCGAAGGCCTATTCTGGAGCCCAAACTGCCAGCCGAGGCGAGGCAGGAGTCAGGACGAGGGACCACCGAGGCCGCAAATCCCTGCGCAACCCAGGAACAACGCCCGGACCCAATACCGCTGACACCTGAGCCGGATCGAACCGCGAAGTCGGATCGGGCCGAAGGGAGCCCCAGACATCGGGTGGTGGTGGGACGCAGGCTCGGCGGGGTTCCGCGAGCTCTCGTCGCAAAGCCGCCACCTACCCCTCTGGTCCTGTGGGAGGGCGGGGGGGGAGGACCGAGGCTCGGGGCCCGAGGCCCGAGGAGCGAGGAACTCTGGACGGGTGGGGGGCCAATTTTTTTTTTGGGGGGGGGCCCACGGAGGCCCCCGGGGACAAGATTCGCAGGCGCACGGGGAGAAGGGAAGCGGGGGAGCCGCTGGGGAACAAGAGGACTCACAGCCTTCGCGTAGCGGAAGTATCAGGTCCACTGCTCGGGCCAGTGCTCGAGGCTCAGACAATTTGCGCTTGGGGAACTCGCCACGGCGAATCCGATCGAGATGCTCGCGACGAATCTTTCCTCCTGCTTCTGCTCGTTGCTCGTTGCTCGTTGCTTCCCTCCCTTTCCTTTCCTCCTGCTTCCTGCCTGCTGTTTCCGCCTGGCCCGTTTTCTGCCTGCCCGCCCGCCCCGCCGGCCCTGGCCTCCCGCCTGGGCGTTCGTCGTCGTCTGCCTGCTTCTCCCCTCTTCGCCCGCTTCCGCCGGACCGCGCTGCCTGCCCGGAACCACGAGGCGGGCTGATGTCCCCAGCCACATTGGCTTGTAGGTTCCTGCCGCAGGTTGGGGCTATATGCAATGCTGCTGTGGTAAAACCGCGACGAATCTTGGAAACAGGAAGCTTACCAGAAGGTGCCGGATCCCCTGAGCTGGGAGATTGTCCGATCGACTCGGAGCCGCATCGCCGCGCTCGGCGCTGGCTGGCCCTGGCCGAGGCCCGACGCTCCGTGTCCTGGTGGTTTGCATACTCGGCGGTGGACAAACCTCCCTTTAGTAGACCTCCCCTTAGTGAAATCGGCCTGGGACCGAAATCGACGGACCTGGACCCGCAAAAATGACGGCCGCGACGCCCTCTCGCGAGCCGAAAACGGCCAATTTCTTAATCGACGTGTCAGGGTAGGAGGTCTGTCCACCCCCGACATACGCGGTCCCCGAGAGTCCCGACCCCTTCCGCAGAGACGGTTGTTCACAGCGAGTCGAGTTTGACGGTCCCGGGGCCCCGTCAGGGCCCCCAGATCGGCCGGAGGCCGCACACCGAAACAAACCTCCGTCCTGCTAAATTCACGGCCTCACATGTCTGGGGAGCCAGATCGAATCGGAATCGCGGCCCCAGCCGGCGAACCGATGCGCACCGACTCGGATCATGGGCGCCCCTGGCCAGAGCCCCCGCAGGGCTCCACCCCGAGCCCGCGCGGAGGCCCGGGCCGCCCCTTCCCTCCGCCGGGGGCCCCGCTGGTGGGAACCGAGCACCGAGCAGGTAGACAGGTCCACATCCTTGCGGGCAATAACTATATCCACATCCAGTGCGTCTTGGATTCTTGGGCTCTCTTCCCCAGAAACCGTAGACGCACCGGATATGGATAAAAATCTGGCCCCAAGAGGCTTGATTTTATCCATATCCGGTGCGCCTCGGCGTTGCGGCAGCTCTTCCCCAAAAAAGTCCACGACGCTCTGGATTTGGATATAAGTACTGCCCGCAATCCTGCCTCCTCCCTCCTCCTCGGGTTCTTTCTCCTCCTTTCTGGGCGAGGCGATCGAGGCGCACCTGTGCACATGTCCACTCCCCCTCCCCCGGCCTCCACGAGGTCTCGAAGCCACCCCAGCCGGGCCACGCTAGATCCACCCTGCCGGCCGGAGGGAGGAGAGCAAGCGCACAGTGTCGTCTGTCTGCCCCGAATTGGCCAGCGACCGTGAGATTCTAAAATGGTTCGCATGGGCGGAAACCCCAGCTCTACAAAGTCAAGACGCACTGTCTTAAGCTGTTGTTTTGTCAGTGGCAACGTGAAGACACAATGCGTCGGATAACAACGCCTGGGACACGGCAGAGCTAATTGCGGACCGACACGAATGGAAAGGAAGGAGCCCAAGCATCCTCCGTCGCGATTTTTCAACAACGTGGCTCGCCAGAGGTCTGGATCACTTTCCTGGGACCCGCTTTTCCTCATACGGACTAGTTTCTGGCAGTCCCAGGGCCTGGTCAGGGCCCCAGGACAACGAACATGGGCAAATACCCTCCGTCGTGCTTTGTCACCACTACGAGACGATGTTCAGGCAGACCGGCCGCGGAGGAGGAAGAGCTCAGAGCGCGCAGCCCTTCACGTGTGTTGTTATCCCTGTGGTGGAGGTGGAAGCAGGGTGGGTCTCGATGGGCCCTGAAGCGGCCCGTGCCGCTTCAGGAAATATGGATCTTCAACAGAAAGACAATTACAAAACGAAACACCAACGCTGAAATTAGAACCAGAACCAGAAACGAAACAACAACGGCGACGGCGCCGAACAAAAACAATAATGGCGACGGAACCGCAAGGGCACTACACTACCCCGTGGTTTCCAGGGCCCATGATGGAGTGGGTATGGGGTCGATTTTGAGGATGCGGCATGTTTTTGGTGCACTGTGTGCTGGAAGGGTTCCGAAGATGAGGCGGGAAAGTGTGGGGACTGGTGCGGGAGTGCAAAGGGGCTGTAGGCGGACAGGTGGAGGTGGAGGGTGGGGGTCTGAAGTGGTGCGCTTTTTTTAGGCCGCGGCAGCAATAGTTTATCCAAGCAACATGTTTAAAACTCCGAGCAGAGAGGCCTCGGCTATGGGTCACTTCGCTCTGGTCCCCAGGAGCGAGAGCCCCACGTATGCGTCCTGACCATGGCATTTGGGAGGCCCAGAGGTGGCGCCCCGATCCTGTGCTGGACTCGCGTCAGAATCCTGGAGATGGCAGGCGCCATCGGCAGGCCAATGCGAGAAGTGGGCGCAGCCAGGGGTGCGTGCACACCTGCGCTGACAGTCAACGGGGGTTGGCTCGTTCGAGCGGCCCTGGCCCCCCATGTCGAGCGGTGTGTACTTGTACCCGCTCACGGTGCACTGAACCTTGCCCATGGTCATCTTGTGAGGCTGCGAATCGCCAAAGTCCAGACTCTTAACCTCACGACTCAGGGACGCGATCGGCGGGGCCCTCTGCCCAGGGGGCACGACAGCAATGTCTACCATTGAGCCCCGGTGCTCCCACACCGCTATTGGCACTGGCAAGTATAGAACAGAGTCGAACGTGACTTCGACGTGACTCGGGTGCAGATCCCGAGACGACTCACCTCGCAGAACTCTGTCGACTACGTCAGCACCGATCTGGAGAATATCGGCGATGTCTGATGTGGACATCTTCTTCTCTGCCATATTGAAGATGACGCTTTGCAGCTCTTCAGCTACGACCGAGCTCTGCTGTAGGCTTGGAGAGCCTGTGGCAGTCATTGCCTCACTGCTGCCAACCTTCACGATCACTTTCGCAGATTGCGAAGCCATACCGTACGGCAACATTATCTTACCAACATGGCACTTCAGAATAAAAAAATCACCGGAACGAGCAGGCACGATAGCAAGCATTTCAAAAGCAAGCGTCAAGTGCCCTGCGACATCCGCTGGTTCAGCAAACAACCAATCTTCCAAATCCCCCGATGCGCTCTGACCCTCATCTTCCACGAGAGGGAAATCTTGCCGCCGAACTTTTAGGGCTTCTCGAACTGGAATGCGCGGTATAATGCCCACGCGGCCTCCCACCTCATGCTTTTCTGGAGCATCTTCTGGGAAGAAGCCTGGCACAATAATGGGCGGACTTTTGTCCCACACAGTTGCGCCGACACGCTGCCCTTCATCCCAAACCATGAAGGTTGCAGACACGTTGCGCAGCGATAGCAGGCCTCGTTGGCTGCCGAGATGGACTTCAACTTCAGTCATGTCGGGGTTGCTGCCGTGGCGCTGGGATCGCAAACTGAGGGCACTGGCTACGTTTGTGCCGTCGCCAGCAACTACACGGAGCACGCCTGCAGGTGGCGGGTGTCTAAGCTTTTCGATATCCACACTCTCACTCCATGAATATGCAAACCGGTTGGGCCCCATGAGCTGCTCCTCAATCACAGAGTCGATCGCATCTGCAATCATTCCCTTGATCCCTGGAAAACCAACGAGTGCAGCCAATCCGCTCAGCTCATAATCGATAGTGGGTAAATCAGCCAGCTGAAGGGCGATGCCACCAACGAGGGGTATCCTATCCAGAAGATGGTCGAAACGAACCACTACTTCGGCACTCACGCGAGCGTTCACAACTCCAAAGCTAACAATGCCTAGGCCCATGTCGATGCGCTTTGTCAGGTTATGCTCGGCCTTGAGCGTCATCCTGAAATCTCTACCACCACTTTTTCGCACCTCCAAAATTTGAACAGCTGGCTGGTCACTTTGAAGATCTAGAGACTTGAATTTCAGGCTCGATAGCATTCGATACTCATGCAGCTTCGGTAGCAAAGTGCTCTGCAACATGTCCTCCATCATCCTGCTAAGGTGAGGCCAGAACATCATGAGGACCTCGTTGATCTCCTTATTGAAGTCTGCGCCTGGGATGACCACCTGTTCCGCCAGTGACTCAGGTCCGGACTGAAGACTTACAAGCTTCTCTGCTACAGATCCGAAACTCTTGATGGCATGGCCCAATATAGATGGTTGTGGCCCTTCACTAGATTCACCCATCTTGACATCGCTGTCATCCAATCCTATCTTATCTTTCTGGCGCGTTGGATTCAATTCCAATGAAGACTCACGGAATAGCGCCAAGACGATCACCAACACAGATAAGATGAGGACCAACACACATGCATGATGTGCACGGGCAGTCAACATGGAGCACAACGCAACCAGGAGTCAATGAATTTGACAAACCACTGCCTGGCTTCAATTTTGAATTATTCGAGCCCTGCGGTCAGCCTGCTTGAACCACCGCGGCCTCAATCACATGGCTGCTGACACGGGAATTGGATTTGCACATGAGCGTTAATAGTCCTAGACAACGGCTGAACATGTATGCCGCACACGCAGAAGACACACATACACACAACCTGACTCACACACACACAAACAAACGTGCGCCCAGCACGAACGCGGAATGCACGTACACACACAAACTCAGGCGCACGCGCACATTTTACCTCAGCCAGGATGTCACATCACAATCGCGATGAATACGTGGAGACCTCATACATACAAATTGTACCCGGCGACGCAGTGAGCGCGTTTCTTTCTCATCGGCAAAGGCGGGCGTCATGTGGGGGGGGGGGGGAGGGGGCGGGGGGGGGGTATGACGTAACGCCCCCCCCCCGCCTTGCGGCTCCGGCACCACAGTCGAGCCCGCGCGCACGACGACGATGAGCGACAAGCGACGAGCGTCGAGCTACGACGACGACGACGACAACGACGACAACGACGACGACGACGACGCGAGCAGCATGCAGGTGGCGATCTGCCCCAGAGCGCCTGTGTACGCCACAGTGCTCGCGTGCACCACAGCGCTTGTGTATAAACCCCAACGCCTGCGTACACCGCAGCAGCCATGTCCAACGCAACTCCTGTTTACACCACAGTGCTTGCGTGCACCACAGCGCCGGTGTACACCACATCGAATGTGTACGCCGCAGCAGCCATGTGCAACACAGCGCCTGTCTACACCACAATGCTCACGTGCACCGCAGCGCCTGTGCACACCACAGCATCCGCGTGCAACGCAGCGCTTAGTGCCTGCGTGCACAGGACAGGTAGAAGGAGCATGTCGGTGAGGATCTGGTGAGGACAGCTAAACTAAACGCCACTCCAGGGAAGTGCTGATAATATAATGCGACGTTTTTCCCTCCTCCCTCCTCCACCTCCACCTCCTCCTCTTCCTCCTCCTCGTCGTCCTCCTCCTCCTCCCTTACCCTTCCCCCCTGTCGTGCGGGTCGGCACTACAGCGCACGTGCGCGTCTCAGCGTGCACCGCAGAATGGTCGATTCACTGGTGCCGTGTTGAGTGCACGCAAGCATTGTGGTGTACACTGGTGCTGTGTTGTACACGGCTGAAGTGATGTACGCAGGCGCTGTGGTGTACACAAGCGCTGTGGTGCCAACAGGCACTGTGGCACATACTGGCGCTGTGATGCACGCGGCTGCTGTGGTGTACATAGGCGGTGTACACAAGCGCTGTGGTGCACGCAGGCACTATGGTGTACACAGACGTTGTGGTGCAGATCGCCACCGACATGCTGCTGCTACCCGTCCTCGGTGATGCCTAAGCATTTCCAGACGCCGCTGGCGCGAAACGTGACGTCAGCGGCCGCCTCAACCCCCACCAGATGATTGCTGTCATCGGCCAGGATTATTTTTTTTTTAAAGGCTCCAGCTGCGTCCGCGCGCACGACGACGATGAGCGACGAACGACGAGCGTCAACGACAACGACGACGATGACGACTGCGGACCAGACTACTATGCGGATTCCTATGCGGACCCCTATGCGGATCACGATGCGCACGGCGGCAGTGCCAGGAACGCACGGGGGGGGAGCGTTATGTCATGGGGGGGGTGAGGGGAGGGCCGGGGGCCATGACGCCCGTCATGCCCCAAGCAATGAAGAAACGGGCTCAGTTAAAGCGGGTCTGCTTAGAGAGCGGCGCAAGAAACAGAAACGCACACGCGTATACGTGCCCTCCTCCTCCTCCCGCGAGGTGACGGCACCGTCCCAGTTTATTGGTCAGGTGCAGTAGCTACCACGTAATGAAAAAAAACTACGGTGCAAGTAGGGGTGCAGCGCAGAGCGAGTCAGCATGCAGGGTGGAAACACTGAGCTGATTGAATGGCGCGGGTAAGCGCGCACACACACACACACACACACACACACACACACACACACACACACGCACAGACCTACACACGTACGCGCACACTTGTCCCTCCGCCGGCCAGGCGTTGTCACCGTGGCGAACAATAGCATAGGGGCAGAAGCTACCCACACGCACAGACGCACACACACACACGTGTCATATATGATCATAATGACACTTTCTGCTGCTGCTCCTCCCTCCCCAGGGGTAGCGGGACATCTCCCAGGGGGAAGGGGTGGGCCGACAGCCCCTCCGCACCGATCGCCTAACACTTGCCGTTCTGATCGCCCAGTCTCCGTCCGTCCTCGCCGTGAGGCGGGAAGCCTGGCCACGAAGCATGTGGGGAACGGGGGCTGCGTCTCGGAGCCCTTTTGATGCCCGGGACTCCTGCCGGCCAGGGTCTCGGTCGGCTGGCTCCGGGGTTGGCCAGGGGCTTGGAAGAGGAAGCGTGCCGACTGAGGGAAGATTTTCCAACAAGTCCGACGTCGTGCGCACTCCTCAAGGGCGTGAAAATATCAAGGCGAGGACCTTCGACCCCATCTTTCTGCAACTTTTCTCGAGCTAGCCCGATCCACGGCAGCCCTGGGCCCTGAAATCACGGGAAGGACGCCCGCCGTGATCTTAGCACGACGCCCAGATGTGAGGGTTCTTCTCCTGCGCGCTAATCTTCGGGTCGTAACTCTGGCCTCGGGCGACCGCTCGGGACGGTTTACGCCAATGGTCCGGTGCCATCGGCGACACGCAGCCGAGTGTAGACGACTTTAGCACAGTGGCGCGCGCGTGGATGTGCCGAGCACGAGCGCGAGCACGGGCCGCGGGCCAGACCAAGAGAGCAGAGGGGAACCTGATCTGAACAGAGGGGCCAGGACGGGAAGGATGGACTGGCGATGCCCCCGCCGTTCACTGACATCCTCTCGCTGCGAAATATCCCGACGGACATGTTTTGCTCTTTCTCTGCACCTTGGGCACATCAGCAGGCCACGCGACTATGATAATTTCTCGACGCGGACACCCCACGTGTGCATCTCAAAGTCATGACGCGTTTCGCTGGGAAGCTCTGTCTATAAGCCCCCTGTTGTGAGGGCGAGTCCGCGTATACGACAGGCGCGGCAATGACGACGACGCCAGCGACGACTTCAGCGACGTCCTCCTCCTCCTCTGGACATCTTTCAGATGAAACGCAAGAAACAGAAGTGGAAGAACCAGGGGAGGTTCCTTTTGCCATTCTCCCCGCGGCAATTCGGGCAAGCGCGCATGGCGTTGCTATGCCCGCTCTCTGGCGTGCTACTCGCGGCGCCCGCTGGGACCGGGTGTGCCCAAGTGCCACGCCGGCTACATCGCAGCACCAATTTGTGGGTAAGCCCCAGTGCACATGAATCTAAACGTGGGCAATCTGAGTGTGAACGTATCGGAGTGTGAGTGGGCCCGGGTATGATCGAGCCTGAGTGTGGCTGAGGTTGTGTATAGCCAGTGTGGGTACGAGTGGGTCTGAATATGAATGGATCCGAGAGCGAGCGAGTCGATGTGCGAGTGGGTCTGAGTGCGAGTGACTCGGAGTGTGGGTGAGTCTGAGTTTGAACATGATGAGTACAAGTCTAAATATGAGTAAGCCTGAGTGCGAGGTAGTCTGCGCATGAGTCTCAGGGCTGGTGAGACTCAGTGCGAGTAAGTTTGAGTGTGAATTGGTCTGGGCGTGGGTGAACCTGAAATTTAGCGAGTCTGAGTATGAAACAGTAAGTGTGTGAGTCTGAGCAGACTCGAATGTGAGTATGGGCAAGTCTGGATGTGATGAGAATCTGACTGGGGAAGAAGTGCTGATGAATAAAACCGCATGAGAATGAATGCGTCCGTGCGGGAGAAACGGGATGGAGCTGTGTGAGTGAGTGGGCGCAAATCCTGAAGTGCCCCCCCCGGCGGTTCCGCGTTGGGGTGCCCAAGTGCCACGCGTGCTAGATCACGATGAGCGCTGAGCCGAAACAAGAATACGTCAGAGGGAGGAAAAAACAAACAAACCACCTGAAACACCCCCCAATCTGAGTGCAAACCCTGGAATGTGCACACCCCTGGCGGTTCCCATGGCGGCTCCGCCTTCGGTTGCCCACGTGTCAGGCTTGCTACATCGCGCTGAACACGGGACCACCAAACAACAAATCTGGGGGACCGCAACAGGCAAGCCGCCCGAGACATCCCCACAATCTGGACGCGAACCCCGGAATATCCCCCCCCCTGGCGGCTCCCCTTTGGGGTGCCCAAACGCCACGCATGCTATACCGCGGTGAACACTAGACCACCACAAGAAAACAGTTTTTGGGGGAGCAGAAACAAGCACAGCGCCTGACACATCCCCACAATCTAGAAACAGAGGATGCTGAGCACGAAAAAAGGCAACAGGCAAACCGCCTGAAACATCCCCCCAGTCTGAGCGCGAACCATGGAATGTCCAGACCCTTGGCGCCCGCCCCCCTTCAAAAATGTTGAAACCAACGCCTCGCCTGACACATCCTCCAGATCTGCTCGGTCAGCAAAACATCCGGGGCACGCAAACACGCAAACCGCCTGAGACATCCCCACAATGTGGGCGCAAATCCTGGAGTGTCTGGCCCCTGGCGTCCCCTCATCGGGATGCCCCAATGCTACGCCTGATGCATCGCGATGGGCTCTGGACCACCAATGGGTACGAGTGGGTCTGGGGGGTGAGTATGAGAAGAGTATGGGTGTGAATTAGATGTGTGGGTCTGAGTGTGAATGGATCAATCTGGTTGGGGAGGACGAGGAAGACAAGGAGGTGATAGGGGAAGTTCTCGGAACCGCCTAAATAATAGGCACTCGACGCAAGATCCTCATACGCGCACCTCAAAATCTTGCCACACTTCGCAGAGGAACTCTGCCTGTGAACACTTGCGTGCGAGAGCGAGTCCGCGTAGACGACAGGCACGGCAATGACGATGACGACGGCGACGACATCAGTGGAGTCCTCCTCTTCTGGACATCGTTCAGGAAAGGCGGAGGAAACACACATGGAAGAGCGAGGGGTCGCCCCTCTTGCCGTTCTACCCACGGAAGCTCCGGCAAGCGTGCATGGCGTGGCTACGCCCGCTCTCTGGCGTGCTGCTCGCGGCGTCTGCAGGCACTTGGTGTTCCCAAGTGCCACGTTTGCTATACTGCCGTGTTGATTGGTGTGTGAGCCCTAGTGCGAGAGAATCTGACCGTGGGTAATCTGAGCGTGAGCGGATCGGAGTGTCAGTGGGCCCGAGTATGATCGAGCCTGAGTGTGGGGGTAGGCTGTTTATATTCAGTGTGCGTACGAATGGGTCTGAGTATGAGTGGGTCTGAACTCGACCGAATATAAGTGCGAGTGGGTCTAAGTGCGAGTGAGTCTGAAGGTGGGCGAGTCCGGATGAGAGCGTGATGAATCCAAGTCTGAGTATGAGTGAGCCTGGGTGCGAGGTAGTCTGCGTATGAATGGCTCTGAAGGCTGGTGAATCTGACTGTTAGTGAATCTGAATGTGAGTTGGTGTCGGTGTGGGTGCCCAAATGCAAAGCCTGCTATATCGCGGTGAACATTGGGCCGCCAAAACACAAAAGTCTGGGGAGGGGGCGGAGACATGCAAACCGCCGGAGACATCCTCCAAATATGCCCAAAACCAAAGGATGCTCGGGCACGCGAACAGGCACACTGCCTGCGACATCCCCACCATCTGGGCACGAATCCTGGAATGTCCTGACCCCTGGCGCCCCCCGCCGTAAGAGTGCTGAAACCAGCGCCTCGCCCGAGACATCCGCATACTCTGCTCCGAAAGCAGAAGATGTTGGCCGCTTGAGGTATCCACACGCTCTGGGCACGAATCCTGGAATGTCGTGGCCCCTGGCGACTCGCCCTCGGGGTGCTGAAACCAACGCCTCGCCTGAGACATCATCCGGATCTGCTCCGAAAGCAGAGGATGTTGGGCACGCAAACGGAGACATCCCCACACTGTGGGCGCGAATCCTGGAAGGTCCTGACCCCTGGCGCCGCCTCCTTGGGGTGCCCAGATGCTACTACGCCTCCTATATCGCGATGAGCAGTGGACCACCAATTCCCCAATCAGAGCTTGCCTCAGTAGGGGTCCTAGCGGATTCATATCATTAGGTAAGGTTTGGCCCCAATTTCGGCGGCACGCCCGGGTGCCAAGGTGCCCAGGTGCCCCGGTGCCCGGATGCCCGGGTGCCCGGTGGCCCGATAACCATATAGCCCTATAACGCTGTAGCCTTGTACCCTGATGGCCCTATAGCCGTACAGCACTACAGCCCTTCTAGCCCTATAGCCCTATGGCCCTATACCCCTGGAGCCCTATGGTCCTATAACCATATAGGCTTATAGTCTTATAGCCTGATAACCCTATAGCCGTGTAGCCCTTTAACCCTATAGCCATACATCCCCATAGCATTATAGTCCTATAGTTATATAGAGCTATATCCCTTTAGTCCCAGAGCCAAATGGCCTTATAGCCCTATAGCCCCATAGCCTTATAACCCTGAAAAGATTGTGAGTGGGGCTATTCTCGGGTATCATGAGTATGAGCGAGTTTGCGTCAGTGAGTTAGTCTGAGTGTGAGTTAGTCTAAAGGTGAGTGGGTCTAAAGGTGAGTTGATGTCATGAGTGATGAGTGAGAGCTGGTCTGAGTGTGAGTGAGTCTAGAGGTGAGTGGGTCTTAATTTGAGTGCACCTGAGCGTGAGGGAGTCTGACTATATTGAATAGGAATACTAGTGAGTCTGAGTGTGAGTGGGTCTGGCTGTGAATGAGTCTGAGTGTGGATAATCAGAATAAGGATGCGTCTGTGTGCGGGTTAGTCTGGATGTGAGTTAGTCTGAGTGTGACTGAGTATGAGAAGTCTGGGTGTGAGTGAGTCTCTCTGGTTGGGGAAGAGGAGGAACAGAAGGAGGTAAGGAGAAGGAGGGTTTGTTCTCTCGGAGCCGTCTAAGTAGTACCAAGAGCCCCAACTTAGAGTATGCGGAATAACAAGGACCCCATCTTAGGATGTGAGAAGAACTACTCGGGATGGATAGCCAGTCCCGGGGAAGGGATCAAGGCCTCTGGGGAGTCACGTCGCGAGCAAATCACGACGTCGGAGATGTCTGGGAAAGGTGGCCATGCTTCCGCCCTCGTTCATGGGTGCTTCGCACCCGAGGAGCCGATGCTTAGCTCCAAAAAAAGCATACTCTCTCGGAGTTTCGAGCGGATTTCTGGGATCGGCGCTGGCCGCCCCTCCATGGCGTGCCCAGCGCGCCAGGGGCGGCGCCGGAGGCGCCGCCAGGGGGCCCCAGCGCAGATCCAAGAGATCCGCGCGGACCTTCGCCAGCTTATGTTTCTAGCGCTGCTGTTTTTCGACAGACGGTCGGGGCAGCCGAATTCCTACGAGCGCTCAGGCGCCATGGCCTGAACTGCGCGAGGCGCCTCTCTCCCCGGCAGGGGCGTGGTTCAAATGGGCTCTCACTGCTGCTGGCGCGCCCGAAGGCCGCGCCCAGGCGCTGACGGCATGCGTTGCCAAAGGAGAGTTGCACGGGTATCTCTGAAGGGGCCCTGGGACACACAAATAATACACACAAATAAAAGGATTCCCATATTTGTCAATCTTTTCTGGCTTTTTGTCTTCCCCCCCACTTCCCATATTTTCCCATATTTTCTGGGGCATCGACGATTAATTGTGTCTGTGTGTTTTTGTTGCCTCCTGAATCTCGCGTGACAGTCGCTCGGTCGCAACATGGCCACAGTAGTGTGGAACAGTTGCAAGAGCCTCTTCGCCGAATTGCCCAAGGCCCCATGGAGAAGCAAACGAAGAAGACTCCAAGGCACGAGCCCGAGCACGAAGAACATGCTCCTCCTCCATCCTTCTCCTCCTCCTCCTCCTCCTCCTCCTCCTCCTCCCCTCCAAAGCTGGGGTTGTTCTCAAGCCCCGTCCCAACTGTGTTGGGCGACGGCGGCGACGCCGAGCACTCCGGAGAGTGCGGCCGTCGAAGAGCAACCGAGGACATCTCGTGCCCAGACATGCGGCCACCCGAACCCAACCCGACTCGATGCCGTCAGGACTCCGTCCCCCGATGCGCCAGCTGCCAAAGAAGATACACCCCCGGTCAATATTCAGAAAACCATGAGATAAGAAATTTTGGGGCTGAACTGGGGAGCGGGAAAAAATAAGAAAACAGGGGCTAAATTCCGGGGGCTAAATTCCGCGGCGGTTTTGGAAGGGCGCCTACGATTTAAGAAACTTGGCCCGTGAGAAAGTGGTAGCCCCTGGCGCGCTGAACATGGCCGGGGCATAAGAAATCCGCAGGGGCTGAAACGAAACAACAACTTTCTTATTGAGCGCCGTGGGTGTACCAGCCCATGGCGAAAACTGATGCACCAGAGTCACGGTATGCTTACGCAAACGGCCTCGCCCCAGCTCCCGGGACGGAGGACGGGAAGGTGGAGGGGGTCGGCGGCACCAGGAAGGCGCCAGCTCATGCTTTCGCGTGCGTCACACCAGCTGCAGACCGCTGCTCGAACTATGTGGAGCTCTGCTGACATGCGCACACTGCCGGGACGCAATCTGACCAGCCTCGCGTGCGGCCATCGTCATGGCGGCACGCTCGAAATCTGTCATCGCTTTACCACTGGGGAAATACTCATTTACGAGATGACGATCCCCGTCCCCAAGCACAAGGTATGATGTGCAACCAGACGCTGCACGCATCCAGCGTTCCCACATCAGGTCATCCAGCGGGGACGAGTCCGGGTTGCCGCAGCAGCCAGGGCCCGGGTAGCGCGCGAAGACTGCGTGACCACGAGCATGGCTGCGATCACTGGCCTCCTGGGAGAAGTTGAACAGGCTCCAGAAGATCCACTCGGTCGCGTCCGACCAGCACTCCCAATAAGGGAACTCAACGGTGCCGCTGCCTCGGCCGCCGCTGTAGAGACTCTCGTGCCAGCCGAAGCCGTCCACAAAATTGAAGGTCTGCGCCAATCCAAACTTGGAGCTCAGGCGTTGGCGCGCAGCGTGCAAGAAGTCGCGAATTCCTCTGGCCATCAGGGCGTTCTGTTCTGCGTCGTCGCTGACGCGGCCAAGCTGGTCCCAGTGAACCCACCGACCGCCGCTCGTCGAGGTCCCCAAGGCGTGGGAGACCCCCCCCAGAGGATCTAGAGGGCGAGAAGTGCCCAAAGCAACAGACACATATGATAATACATCTTGCTGCAAGAAATCTCGGTGCACATTGTCCGCTGATCTGTGTGAGGTCCGAAGGTGCCCCAGGGCCTCTGTGAGTCCCTGGCGGCCCTCGGGCACAAGCTGTAAAGCCGATGGCACACTTGACGTGCCTACCGTGCTGCCCTCACGGAAGCCCCCTATCGACCCGAAGACGGCCCTGGCGAGTCCCCAGTGGAGGCCCCCGAGATGGCAATCCCCCTGAAGAAAAAGATGCGCAGCCAGGCTAACACCACCACCAGGCACCCTGAACAGGAGGAGGAGGAGGAGGAGAAGGAGGAGGAGGAGGAGGAAGAGGGGGAGGATGATGAGGAGGGAGGAGGAGGAGGAGGGAGGAGGAGGAGGGAGGAGGAGGAGGGAGGAGGAGGAGGAGGGGGAGGAGGGGGAGGAGGGAGGAGGAGGAGGAGGAGGAGGAGGAGGAGGAGGAGGAGGAGGAGGAGGAGGAGGTGGAGGAGGAGGAGGAGGAGGAACAGGAGGAGGAGGAGGAGGAGAGCAAGGCCGAAGCCCCTATTTGGTCCCCGGAGCGCCGGGATGCACCAGGAGCGCCAGAGGAACAATCATGGAAGGACCTGCGTAGGGAACGGCGAGCCCCTTCCGAGCCCGAACTGTTCCTTGTGTCCCCGCTTTGATTGTACTGCTGAAGAAATAACAAACACACACAAACACACACACACACACACTGTCGAGAAACACGCACACACACACACACACTGCGGATAAACATCTGTGCGTTTGCAATTTGTGGTTTGTTTTTCCACTGTGTGTGTGATTTTCCCATGAGTTTGGTACTCTCGCCTTTCGTTTCCGCAGGTGGGCCTCCGTATTGCTGAGACGAAGAAGTCCAGCATGGCCCCAAAGGGCTTCACATGGCACCGGCTGGCCACGCAGGGGTCCCAACGTAGCTCCGAGAAGGCCCTGGCGGGCATCCAAGAGGCCTCAAGGGGCGCCAGGGGAGCCTCCGGGAAGCCGGGGGGAGACTACAGTCAGGTGAAAATTTTACGAGTGAGAACTTTGTCGAGGTGCGTCCGTCGAATGAACAGAAGTCCTTTATGGCCGTGGTTGAGGCGTGGCTCGATCTAGCTGCCCACTACTGCAACAGCCGTAGAATCCACCCCACCGACCGACTGAACGACGGAACGACCAGACAACCACCGACGGCGACGACCGACGAATGACAACGACGATGACCGACCGACCGACCGACCGAGCGAATGACCGATCGACCCAGCGGCCAAGCGACCGAACGGCCGACGACTACGACGACGATCACGAATAACGACGATGACCACGACGACCGAACGGAACGACCGACAGAACGAGCAATCGACGACGACGTTGACCGACCGACTGGCCGACCAAGCGATCGACGACGACGACGACGCCGACCGACGCCGACGACCGACGAACAGGCAACGACGACGGCAACGACCAGCGACCAACCGACCGACCGACCGACCGACCAACGACAACCGAACGACGAGGACGACGACCGAAGGCGACGACCGACGGACGACGACGACGGCAGACCGACCAACAGCGACGAACGACAACGACGAAGACAACGACGGACGGACCGTCCGACCGGACGACGAAGACGACGAAGTCAACGACGGACGGACCGACCGACCGACCGACCGACGGACGCCTTCGCAAATTTCTAGAAGGCCAAATCCAGAAGGCCGACCGCGAACGGCCGAGGTCAAATTCTGGAACGTGCGGGCTTGGTAGAATTCTAAAAGGGAGCGCTTCAAGGACGCAGCCCACCACCTCCCCCTCTCCAACCCCCCTCTGGAGACGGGGGATCCGCTTTTAGTAACCTAGAAGCGGAGGGCCCCTGCAGGCGAATGTACCACCTCGGGCTCCGAATCCTGCAACAACCTTTGGTTTTGAGACCACCCGCTGGGCCGAATCATCCCGCAGGAACCCGAATGAACCGCAAATGAACCCCGAATGAACTGCGAATGAACCCCTGAATGTACCAGAATGTGCCCCCGACTGAACCCGCCCCAGCGCCCCAGACGGACCCCGACTCAACCCTCCAGACGTCGTAGTCGTCGTCGTCGTCGTCGTCGTCGTCGTCGTCGTCGTCGTCGTCGTCGTCGTCGTCGTCGTCGTCGTCGTCGTCGTCGTCGTCGTCGTCGTCGTGGTTAGTCTGCCGTCGCTGTGGTTCGCCGTTGTCGCTCTTCGCCGTTCGTCGTCCTGAATCGATCCGACGGTCGTCGTCCTCGTCATCGTGAAATTTTATTACCAACGATAATCACCTGACTGTGCAAAGAGGAGCCCTCGGGTGGATGCCAAAGGGGGGGCGCTCCACAGGGGGCGATGTGAGGGCCGCAGAAGAACAAAAGACGGCATACATATGAAATCAGGAAGTCCGCACGAATTTCCTGGATCTGTACTGGACCCCACTGGCGGCGCCTCCAGCTGCGCTCATGGGCGCGCTCCGCGAGCCGACAAGGGGGCTTCAGCGTCGACCCATCAGGTGCGGACGGCGCTGTGGCAATCTGGGCTCAATGCCTACTCTGTGACCCTCGGTGCGTGGACCTTGCAATCAACGCGCACCATGCAGAGGCACGATCAGGATCGGATCGCCGCGCCTGGCTTCCGGCAGGCCCCAGCCGGTGCCGGTGGATCGAGTCGAATCGAATCGAAATCGCGGCCCCAGCCGAATATGAAGGGGCCCAAGGACACGCAAATAAATACACACAAATAAGATAATTCCCCATAGTTTCCAATATTTTTGGGTTTTTTGTCTTCCCCCCCCACTTCCCATGTATTCCCATATTTTCTGGGAATCGACGATTAATTGTGTCTGTGTGTTTTTTCCCTCCTTAGACTATTCGGATCGCATCGATTCGGATCGCAGGCGGCCCTTCAGGAAGGCCCCCAAGTCGGAAGCGGCCGAGGGGTCTGAACCGGTTGGGCCCCCAGGAGGTCGGCCGACTCCGCCAAAAGTCAGTCCCCGGATCCCCCCCAGGAAAGCAAGGCAGTTGTTAACCCCAAATCCGCTTCTGGCAGTCCCAGCCCCCCCCCCCCTGGACTTCCGCAGCCTTCCGCGCCGAGCCTCCACCTGTGCGGGGCCGCCTCCGCTTTGCCTCCGCCAGCCGTGGAGGCCCTCACAGAGTGGACCCCGACACGGCACCCCGCCCGAGGAGGAGGACAGTCAGGGCCTCCAGCGAGCTCCGCGCGTCGCGGCGGCGGTCCCCCAGCCACACGTGTCACTGCGTCTCGAGGGACGGGAAGACAAGAAAGGTTCGGGACGTTGGCGCTCGGGTAGCGTGTCGCGCCGAGGCGTGGTGGACCAGAACTGGCAGTGCCCGGCTGCATCTCTGACCGCCCCAGAAACGAGAATGGCCGGTGCCCGACGCGCGTGCCCGCGAGGCGGTGCCTTCCCCCGCATGACGTTGCACATCTCGCCTCCCCCTCCCGCTCAGCTCTGTTCTCCTGGAGCACCGATCAGCCCAGACATCGCCACGACTCCCCCCATGGTGCGGCCAGCGCCGCGGCGCAAGCCTGTAGGATACCGTCGAACCCAAGGCTCACCGCCGCAGGCGCCCACAAGTCTACCATGTGATCTGCCCAGCTTCGTGACAGAAGGTAGGTGTATAAGCAGCGGTTGCCGTCGAGGCCATTCCAAGACACCTGTGTGCCATCGCGATTGCTGTAGGGCAGGAACTTGCTGTGGTGGCTGAAAGACTCGTCGGCGGCAACGGATTGCACGTACATCCAGGAGCGCCCCCGGCCACTGGGCAGCTTTCGGATCTCGTCAGTGTAAGCCTTGATAGTAGCGGCGTGCACGACACGCGGCTGCTTTGTAAAGCAACCTGAGGGCTTGGAGATCCAACTGTCTTTTGTCGGATGGACTGGTTGAGAATAGGTGTAGAATGCATCGTAAAATTGAAAGTCCACGATCCCAAAATCCCTGTGCAACTGCCTCACTGCGTCGCGGGCAGCTTCTGCACTGACGTTGAATAGGGATAGGTACCCATAGTTGCGGACCGAGGCAGACGTATGGCTGTTTCCATCTTCGTTCGCATCATTTGCAACGCTGTCCACGAAAAAAACGGTGGCAGCTAGTACTAACACTCGGTAGATGATTCTGCCGAGGGCCATGCTGTCTCGCAAAGTGGCTGAAGCAGACTGAACTTGACCCACAATGGCTACGGATATGGAAGACAACGGCGGCTATGACGAGCAGGCTATGTTGCATATCCAGGGTACTTTGTCTGTCCCATCGCGCCACGGTTCGCGTCGAATCCGCGCCGAATCCACGCAGGACGCGTGAAATCCGCGTCGACTCCGCGCCGAGTCCGAGTCAATCCCGCGTCGAGCCCCACGTCGGTAGCAGGAGAAAACTGCCATAAACAGGACAGGCAAGATAGATGCCTCCTAGATGGGGTCCGAGCAGATGGGATCGGAGCATCACTGATGCATCGCCGATGAATCGGCGGGATCGGCAATTCATCGGCGCCGTTGGCTTGGAGAACATCGGGCTCCGCATCGAGCCGCCTCGCCGATGCACCGGCGATGCGGCGCGATCCTCCGATCCCATCTGCTCGGGCCCCATCCCCCGGAAGATGCGCCGTAGAGGCCGCGTGAGCTGCCAGGAGTGAGCCGACAGCCTGGCGCAGGGAGTGCAAGACGCTCATAGACCACAACCTCGAGGTTTGTGACTTTAGGGGCCTCCTGGATTGGGTCCCAGCAGATGGGCTCGGAGGATCACGCCGCATCGCCGATGCATCGCCAACGCACCGGCGATGCATCGGCTGCGTCGGCGTGGGAAACATCGGGCTCCACATCGAGAGCGCATCGCCGACGCATCGACGATGCGGCGCGATCCTCCGACCCCATCGCCTCCGGCCCCCTCCGGGAGGCAGAGACCACCACCACCTCGGGGCTGGTGGCCTGTGCTCGCCCTGCCCCCGGGCGCACGCAAGCGCTCGTTGACTCGGAGGGAAAAAAGACACAAACACACACACACACAACAAAAACACACACACAAAAAACACTAGGAAAACACACACACAGTGGGGAAAAACACACACAGTGTGTTTTGTTTCACACAGTGTGTGTTTTTGTTTTTTGTTCCCACCGTGTTTTTTCCCACAGTGTGTGTGTGTGTTGTTTCCCCACAATGTGTTTTTCCCCACGAGCGGCGGACCCGTGGAGCGGAGCTCCCGGGCCCGATCGAGCGGCGCAGAGCCATGTGTGGCGGTGCTGCGAGAGGCCTCCTGGAGGCTCAACAAGTAAGAACACCTGGGGATGGCCGCCGATGTCTCGGCGGAGCCTCCTCCGATCGTCGTCTCCGGAGTTCCACCCCGATGGTTCTTCCCCGAACGGCTTACCTGCTGAGGGTTCTTCACTCTTGACATCTCCTCGACGGCATGTATCAAACAACTGCCGGCTCCAGAACTGGGCGTCCGACGTTGTCTGCCGTCGTCTCCCGTTCCCTCCTGTTGTCTTCCGCTATCTCCCGGCGTCTCCTGTCGCCTCCCATTGTCTCCCGCAGTCTTCCGTAATCTTCCGTTGTCTCCCGTTGTCTCCCGTTGCCTCCCGTTGTCCCCCATTGTCTCCCATTGTCTCCCATTTTCTCCAGTGCTCATCGATTACTTCCGTAGATGTATCCAGATCCATATCCCTATATCGGCATGTATCCCAATCCCTCCCCCTCTATCCTTACTTCTATCCATTTCGCACCTTCCAATCTCCTAAATGCCGATCTCTATCCCTATCCCCATCCCTATCCCTATACCCCTCTGCCCCTAGCCACACATACATATCCCTACCCCATCCTGACCCCTATCCCGATCGCCCCCTCATCGCCGAGCATCGCGGCCCCGATCGTAACCGTGCGAAAATATTTCGGGTCTCCTGCCGCAAGGGCGTCATTCATTTCCACCCGCGTCCAAACCTTCCCGACCCCTTCCTCAGCGGTTGTTCTGCGCCCCGGATCCGTGTTTGATGGCCCCAGAGGCTGACAGCGGCGCTGGAGGCCGGAGCGAGGGGACAAAGCCGCGATTGCAAACGTCCTTTCCTCGACGGCCTGGGTGGTCAAAGATTTGTTTAGCACCGTCGATCCCGAAAGGTCTCGACTTAAGTCGGGCCTGTCCCCCTACGGGGGGATTTTCGACGAAAAATAAAAATACCCCCAAAATAATCCAAAAATGATCCAAGAATAGTCTGGGGATTATTTTCTTAGTATTTTCTAACCTTTTTGGGGTATTTGGGGTTTTTTACTTTCGTCGAAAATCCCCCTGTAGGGGGACACGCCCGACATAAGTCTCGACCCACTCCCCAGGACCGGCCCTTCACTTGGAGAAGTGCTTGACGCTCCAGGGGCCCCAGCGAGGGCCCCCCCCCCCGTGCCAGAGGCCCGGAGCAGCAGAAAACCCTGCGTCGTGAGGTCTGTCACGACGCAAAGGGGTGGCCCCTGCTGTCCAGTGTTAAGTCGGGCGTGTCCTCCTACAGGGGGATTTTCGACGAAACATAGAAAATACCCAAAAAACAATCAAAACATAGTCCAAACATAGTCTGGGGACTATCTTTCAATTTTAGTTTTACCTTTTTGGTTATTTTTTGGGGTATTCTAATATTTTTGTTTCCTTTTTGAGGTATCTTTTTGGTATTTTTGATTTTCCGTCGAACATCCCCCTGTAGGGGGACAAGCCCGACTTAAGTCCAGTCGGGGATCGTATGACCTGGGTCAATCCAGACCCGGGTCAGCAGGAAACCAAAAGCAGCAGTGCAGGAGAAAAAAACTGCAACGCGGGTCTTCGCAGAACCGGGTCGGCCATTATGCGCGGCCGCCTCGCGGCCACGAGCGGCTCGCAAGCCCGGGTCAGCCAGAGGGGGTCATCGCAGGATCCTGAAAGATCTGGCGCTCTGGCTGCCCCAGTTTGCCTTAACCCCCGTCTCGAGGCTCCCGATCCAGGTGAAGGGGCTCTGGGACGCACAAGTAAATACACACAAAAAACAGATTCCCCATATTTTCCCATTATTTCTGGGTTTCTGTCTTCCCCCCCACTTCCCCTATTCTCCTACATTTTCTGGGGGATCGACGATTCATTATGTCTGCGTGTTTTTGCCCCTCCCGATCCAGGCCATGGCTCGGCCCTCCGGCGGCCGTGCCCGACGACAGCCAGGCACCCCATATGGAAGCCTCTCGGCGAGGCGACGCTGCTGGCAGGCACCCCGAGGCTGGAGAGCCGCTGCGCACTGCCGCAGACGCCCGAGCATCTCGACCCCCGAGGGTTCCTAGGACGAGGGAGGAGGAGGAGGAGGAAGGAGGAGGGAGGAGGAGGACGGGGAGGGAGGAGGAGGAGGGGGAGGGGGAGGAGGAGGAGGAGGAGGAGGAGGAGGAGGAGGAGGAGGAGGAGGAGGAGGAGGAGGAGGAGGAGGAGGAGGAGGAGGAGGAGGGTTCCTCGAGCTGCACCGGCGCCCGACGAGGGGGCCATGGGTCTGATCGTCGTCGGCGGTTGCCCGGGCCGTCGCCGCCGCCGCCGCCGGCGGAGGCCGCCGACAGGCCGGTGCGTCCTTCGAGGGCCGCGCGCCGCTGCCGAAGCGCCGGGCCGATGCCGGGCTGGCATTGCCGTCGCCGGCCCGCGGGGCGGCGGGCGCCGACATCGCCTGACGCCCTGTGGCGGGGGGGCAGGCGTCCCGCGCCAGCGGGCACAGCTCCAGACCCCTGGCGTGCGCGGAGGAATCACGACGGGAACGCGTGTGCCGCGACCGCCCGCGGTGCCCCCAATTCGGGTGGTGCTTGTACGAGGGAGGAGGGAGGAGGGAGGAGGCAGGAGGGAGGAGGCAGGAGGGAGGCGGGAGGAGGGAGGAGGGAGGAGGGAGGAGGGCGCAGGGCGCAGGAGGAGAAGGGGAGGAGGAGGGAGGAGGGAGGAGAAGGAGGAGGAGGAGGAGGAGGAGGAGAGGAGGAGGAAGAGGAGGAGTAGGAGGAGGAGGAGGAGGAGGAAGAGGAGGAAGAGGAAGGGGGTTCTCATTCGTGCCACTGAGGGCCTGGGTGGGTCTGGTGGGAGTGCGCCGCGTTGCAGCCCGAGGCCGCCCGTGGCCGCCTCGCGAGCAGGGCGGGTCCGGCAGGGTCTCGCCACCTTGCTGCTTGTGGTCGCCTCCTCCTCCTCCTCCTCCTCCTCCTTCTCCCCCTCCCCCTCCTCCTCCTCCTCCTCCTCCTCCTCCTCCTCCTGAAAGGTGCGTTTTACAGGATGGGGCAGTTCTGGTTCCAGAAGGGGGTGCCGTACAGGTGGAAGAGATGTGTTTTGCTGTGTCACGTAGTCAACACAGCGCTTGCTGGTGTAGAAGCTTTTGTGCCTACGGCGTCCCAGTTGCAGACGTTGGATCTTGCTGTCGGAGGTCTTGCCAGAAAAGCAATGCGTGGCGAGGCCAGCTGGGAGGAGGAGGACGGACGGAGAAGATGTCTTTCCACTCGTGAGGTGTATCAGTGGTGGCGCCTCTCTCCTCTTGCCAGCGAACTCCAGGTCCGTCGTCTGCGTTGGCTGCAGGCATGTGTGCGACGTCCAGGATCGCACAAGCAGATGCTGGCGGCTATCTTTGGCTCTCTCCCTTTTGAGCATACCGAGGTTTTCACGGAGAACGGGTCTCTTGGGATTAACGCAAACCCGTGGGCCTTGCAGTTCCAGGGGGACCTTGAGGAGCTCGTCAAGTGGAGTGATGATGCGGCCTCGTGTTGGGCCCGTGCTGGAGGTTCGATTTTGGGGCTTTTCGACTTCGAGGTCTCTCAGGACTTCGTGAAGATTGATGTTCGGGTTCTTCGTAGTCGACATTTCGATGTTGAAGTTGCTCCCCCTGGCCTCCAACCAGCAGATCCCGAGGCTCTCGAAGAAGGTGCATTATGTGTCTCCGTGGATTTCAGGTGCCCGTGGACAGACGAGAATGGCCCCTGTGGGGCTTCGTTCACCTCGAGGAAGGGGCTGGTCAACCACCTGCGCTTGGTCCACAACTCGTCCAAGCTCTCTCAAGTTCTGACGGTTACGAACCAGTGTGTCTCTTGCAAGGAGGTATTTTGGGACCGAAAAAGCGCACAAGAACACCTTCACGGAGCCATTAACTTCGGGCGATGCTTGGCCAACAAGGCTTCCACGCTGAGGCCGCTGATTGAGCCTGAGTCCGTCATCGTTTGTGGGGTCTGCGGTTCAAGCTGTACATCCTTGTCCCTCTACAACGAACACGCTTGTACCCACTTGCCCTACCAGCCTCGCATACAGCCTCTTAAGGATGCCAGGCGACGACTGGGATGTCGAGATGTTCGGCGAGGAGCGGCCAGTGTGGGCCATGACGGTGTGCGGCGTGAAGCGCCCTGCCCCACCCGAAGGCGGCGATCGCTCGAAGCAGGCCAACGTAGGCCAAGGCTCAGGCTCTCAGGAAGTTGCCCAGACAGGCCGCGGCGCCAAGTCCAACAATTAGCTCGAGGAGCTCGGTTGACGGCGCGCCTGGCGCTGATCACGGCACGGGAGCAGGCCCTTCTCGAAGGCAGCGTTCTCGAGACTTACCTCGTCCCCGAGCTCCACTTCCTCTCGAAGGCGGGCATCGAGGCGAATCGCTTCTACACCGGCGCCGTCGCCGGCCTGAAGGAGCAGAAGAAGACAGACGACAGCATCGACGTAGGACAGCTGGGCCCTCCGTTCGTTACTGTTTTCTATATGGTGATGGCGGCTGCGGTCAAGGCGGCGCAAGGTGCAGCTCAGGAGCCCATGGCGAACTTCTTCCAGACGCACGTCAAGGGCCAGCCAGCAGAGTACATCACACAGTACGTCACGCATTTCTCGATCAAAGCACCGAGGGGCGAGCACACCAGCGCCAAGATGAAGGGCATGGTGAAGTTCCAGGTGCACATCCAGACCGCACGGCCCGCTGGCGTCGTGCTTCGCGAGATCCTCGACCGCATTCTCTCGGAGGCAGGCGCCAAGAGGCTCGTAGGCTCGGCCCCACGTGGGCCCCTCGAGCGCAAGATTGGCCAGCTGTTGAGCAAGCGGTGAGACCTTCAGTTGATGCTGATCAAGCCCGAATTCGCAGTCAGAGTCTGGATGGAGATATCATTCGTCCCCAGCAGCCTGGTTGCCAACCACTCTTGGGCCCAATTCATTCTTCAGCTGTGGGTGCAGCTGATGATAGTCGTGCTCAGGATAGTGGTGTGCTTCAGGCTGACCAGATGACCGAACAAACGAATGTTGAGACCTCTTTTGGAGATGATAGTTGCACAGGTTGCCAACCGTTCATTGGGCCAATTCATTCTGATGTTGTGGGTGGTCATTCAGATATTCCTCAAGCGAGTACTGCTAGTGCAAACACTATTGAAGATACCGATTCGCGTGTTCATTTACCTCATGAGCGATTTCTTGATGGGGGACGGGGTGAGCGGTCGTCGTCGGCCCCACGGAGTGAACCTGCCCGTTTTGTCCCTCCTACTCCTTCCTCCAACCCCCAGGAGGTCCGCAGCAGAACCTTGCCCCCGCCCCAGCTCTCCCTGCCGAGTGCGCTGCAGAACAGCGAGCGCCTCCGCATGCTGGTGATGCGCGGGGTCATCAAGGACTGCCGTATCACGGGGAGGGATTTTTTTGTGGTTCGGGCGGGGGCGGGGGTGGAGGGGGTGGAGGAGGAGAGAGTGGCTGCTGCTGCGACCGATCGTGCCGAGGGGAAGGCGGCGAGCTCGTCCGAAGTGAGGAGTGTCCGTCCGAGGCTGTCGGTTCGCGGAGCATTGAATTCGAGACGTCGTGGTTAGAGGTTGACTGGCGCCCGCAGGCAACCCAGCGCGGCACTCCGCGCAATGGGTGCGCCTCTGGGGCCAGTGGGGGCTGTTCCCTCCAGCGAGGGCTCCCCATCGAGGGTTTGGATTTGTTGGGCTATGCCCCACGCAGGGATCTAGTTTTGTTTTCTTCTCCCCGCAGGCCTGTGTAGGCCCCTGCAAAGCTGTCCGTCGGACTTGGTTTGATCCCCAGCGTCTCTTGGTCTTGGTCTTGGTCCTCCTCCTCCTCCTCCTCCTCCTCCTCCTCCTCCTCCTCCTCCTCCTCCTCCTCCTCCTCCTCCCCCTCACCCTCACCCTCCTCCTCCTCCTCCTCCTCCTCCTCCTCCTCCTCCTCCTCCTCGCTTCAACAGAAAATCGGTTCAACCATCCGCTACCCACTGGAGTTGACGACCCCCGTTGGGCACTGCAATTTACTTACGATTCTGCCCCATCGATAATTTTCCGCATGAGTTCATACCATTCCAATCTGACCACCACAGACCCCGCCCCCCGTCACACCTGTCAAATCATGCTGTGTGCGCGAAGTTGATTATCTCACAACGTCAATCTGCCAAAATTCCTCGCAACAAAGTCCAGTCCACGAGCAAGCACATGCCGAAATCATGCCAGCCGCCATTCGTTCTGCAAGCACGAGAGCCTAACCGTATCTTCTGCTCGAACAACCTATTGGATTCGTCCAGCAGTCTTGCAACATTACTGCCCACGCGCACTTGCTGAAGCAAGGGAACCGCATGAGATTAGCCATGTCGTCCACAAGCCGCATTCTAATGTTACCACCCGGTGCATCTGCGTTCATCTAGTACGCGCCCACGGCGCGAAACCGTCTCGCGTAATTCGATGCGGGCCAAACGCGCGCACGCCGCCACGCGAGGGTCGAAGCATGCCGAAATAAAGATCGTCACATTCATCAGACCACGCCCGTTTTCCAACAAAGGGCTTGTCAGCTGTTTTGAACTGTACGCGCGCGCTTCCTCACCATGACCCCCACCAGCGCCATCGCATCACTGACGTCTTCGTCATCGTCTCTCGTCGCTATTGCCGCAATCACCAGCCAACCACCTTCATCATCAACACATGGACATCATCATCGCCATCACCGTCACCAACATGCCAAAACCACCGATTCTGGCATCATCATCTTTGACGCGGTTGTCGACGTCACCATGATATCGCGCCCCCCCCAAACAAAATCACCGACCCGCACTCAAGTGCCCGCGCGCCCGCTCGGTCTTGGAGGCGCGCTGGAAAGCTCCCGCTGGTAAGCACCATCGCGGCCGCATCAGTTACGTCAAACCAGCTGGCCGCCCTTTGCGCGAGCTTGCGCGCGCCAGCGCGGCCGCAGAGATGCGACGACCAGCGCCAAGCAGCCACCGCAATCGTGGCCGCATGGGTTTAACGAAACAAGTTGTGGGTAGGAGGTTGGGATGTACGCGCGAGCAGTGGAGTTGATCACTCATTAGCAGCGTTAGTAGTAGTTTACACCACATAGCCGACACCACGCAGCTAAAACAACATCGATTGCACTACATATACTGCCTGCACCATATAGCTCGTGTCATATACATATATAAATATGTTTACATATATATGTATATACGGCGCCACATAGCTTGCAGCTCATACCTCACACCACGGAGATTGTACCACATAAGTTGCGCCACATTGTTCACACCACATAGCTCACATCTCACCACACTGCATAGATCGCACCGCACGGCCACAGTGCATCATTTTACTGTTCGGGGTCCACGCTGGCAAACAGTTTGTTGCCATGCTCGGTCTCATGGTTTGGGCCAGGGTGGCATGTACACTGATCCTGGGCAGAGGATGGGCCTGGCCAGGGGACGTGGACACGTACCAAGACCC